GGATAAAAACATATGAATTAAATTGAAGACCGTGACGATGTTCAAAACGCATCAAGCGAAAAAACAATGGATGTTGTATCGGCTGTCTAACATATTGTTATCAAATTAAAGCTAAAAGAAGTTATCATGTTCATGTGTTGATTTGCGTCAACAAAAGTAACCATCGGCGACGGAAACACTATGCGTTTTTGGGACTCCGTTTGGATAGAAGGGCGTAGGCCAAAAGACCTCATGCCATTGGTCAACGCAATCTCGAAGAAAGTCCTTACATCAGGGAATGAAAAATAATGCTTGGATCAATGACTTAGACCTTGAAGCCAACCCACCAATCTCGGTGGACCTTATAGGTCAGTTAGTCACCTTATGGACTGTTGTGCGGGACATCCAATTAAACGAGGATCCTGATCAAATTACCTATAAGTTCACAAGCCATGGCCAATACTCGGCGTCGTCAGCTTATCAGGCACCTTGGGGCACCAAACAAGATTTTCATCTCTCTCATTTGGAAAGTTTGGATACCGGGGAAATGCAAATTCCACGCATGGCTAGTCATCCAAAACAGGGTTTGGACCTTCGACCGGCTCGCGATTAGAGAATGGCAAAATAATGGGTTTTGGCCCCTCTAACATAGAGAAGGCGAAACGGCTTTACATCTTGTTGTCAGTTGCAGATACACAAAAAGAATATGTAGCATGGTAGCAATCCGGGTGGCTTACACTACTAGAAAAACGATTTTTCATGACGTTGGTCTATTTCGCTGGCGGAAAAATGTGAAAACCGCCAGCAAACTTGTAACGAGGGGGTGAGGGGCACCGGCCGCCAACGAAAATGCATTTTCGCTGGCGGCCCATCTAATGCAGCCGCCAGCGAAAGTATGTCTATTTTTGCTGGCGGTCAATTAGGTGCGCCGCCAGCGAAAATAGATAATTTTTGCTGGCGGTGCAATTTTTCATGGCGGCCAATAAATAGAACCGCCAGTGAAAATCCAACCAAAAATATCTGTCACATTAAAACACCCACCTACCCATCCTCATCCTCTTCTCCACATTAAAACACAACACATCCACTCCTCTTCTCTCTCCTCCCTCTCCTCCCTCCCAGCCTCTCCACCTGCGATGGAGGCGATGGCTCTGGCGGCGACGACCGGCGACTGCGGCGGCGGCGGCTCTGGAGGCGACGACCAGCGACGGCAGTGGCGGCGGCTCTGGCGGCGATGACTGGTGACGGCTCTGGCAACGACGACCAGCGGCGGCGGCTCCCTGCGTCGCCCCTGCCCTCCCATCCCCTCCTCTCCTATCTGTCTGAGGGGAGGAGGCCGCCGCCGGTGGCACAACAGAGGCGGCGACGGGGAGGACGTGCAAATCTGCCCCGGCGGTGGCGCGGGGAGCACATGGCGCGGGAGGCGGCGGCTCGTCCCCGTCGGCGGCGGCGGCTCGTCCCCGTCGGCGGCGGCGGCTCGTCCCCGGCAGCGGATGGCGGCGACAACAGCGGCTCGTCCCCGGCAGCGGAGCTGACGACGACGACCGTGACCGTGGTGACGACGATGACCGCGATGCTGCCGGCAAGCGTGTTTTTGTGTGTTTTGGTTCCGCGACCGGCAGATGGCAGCGGCGGTGGCTCATCCCGATGGCTTCGGCGACTAGGGTTCTCTGTGTTTTTTTTGTGTGTTTTGGTTTGTAAGGATGTTTGTTAGGTTAATCTGTGTTTGTTCTGTTGATTATGTCAATGTTGTATTTGGATTGATGCCAATATTATGTACGTATTTGTGATGCTCTGGATTTGGATTGTGTTTAAATGATGTTTATGCCCATTTCTAAATATGGATTGTTTTGAATTTGGCCGGGTGGGGAATTTTGAATTTGGGGTAGGGAATTTTTGGCGGGGTGGGTTGATTTTCATTGGCGGTTCTCTTTAAACAACCGCCAGAGAAAATGGGTTTTCGCAAGTGACACTCAACCGCTAGCAAAAATCGTTTGTCCGCTTGCGAAAATTTACTTTCGCAAGCGGACCGCAACCGCTAGCGAAAATCGTGTGTCCGCTTTTGAAAATAGATTTTCGCAAGCGGAACGAAACCGTCAGCGAAAATATTAGATCTTCACTGGCCTTTACTTTGTGGCGGCTCCAAATTCCGCTAGCGAAAATCTAAAATGGCCGCCACGAAAGATGGTTTTTGTAGTAGTGTTACCAATAGCTTGACCCTTGGACAATGGGAGGCGACCCATACCATAAAAGACTGGTGGGAAGCTCTAGCAAACACAATGCGAGTTCCAAAAAAGGGACTGTGCACTCTCATCCTCCTTGTCGTTTGGGAGATCTGGAAGGAGAGGTACCAACGAATCTTTGAGCATAATGAGGCTACGTTGTCTTTCATTTTTGCCAAAATCAAGGAAGAGGCGTGGACATGGGCAACGGCAGGAGCAAAGCGCTTACTTTTGCCTCACACTGTATAGTGCATATAGCTTTTTCCCTTTTCTTGCCCTAAGGGGCTGTATTTTTCTCCCGCTATATTTAATGAAAAGCACAATCTCTATTGTTTTCCCTTCAAAAAAGATTCTGATATGTCTTTTTTTTTATCGATTCTTTGTATTTACAAAATTAGAAACAAGAGCCGCATAACAAAATACAATTCTAATGATTTTCTTAAGTTTAATTTGACTCCAAATAATTGCATGGGAAATTGGGTAATTAATTAATTATGTGAAAGGGGTGGGTGCAAAACTATCACCTTGACCACTTCAATTATTTAAAGTAGTTCTTTTGCCTAAGGGTAGTCCCAACCCATAGTGTCCATAAGTAGTGTCTATGGTGCCATGTCAATAGGACATCATAATAGAAACTACACTCTACAACCCATGATTTCTTAAAGTGGGCCATTAATAAATACATCATCTCTCTTCTCTACCTATCATATTTATTCTTCATCTATTACGAAGACACTGTTCGAACGATACCATGGGTTCTTGCACGACTCTATGCTTCAAAGACCCGGTGGACATGATGCAAGCAAATGGGACCTGTGACGGCATAGGTTGCTGCACGATCGAGACGATGAGGGAAGTGCAGGGCTTTCGGCTAAGGATTGTCCGTCAAGATGGCATCGGCCAGGTGGTGCCGCAAGAACAATCCAGTGTCAAGGCTTGCTTGACGTATGACTCTTATTAGTTTCGCACGGAAGATCTTTCCTCCCCTTGGATCAACGGAAGCAACTTTCTCTATACTACGATCTACGGTGCCATCATGGACCAGCCAAACTGTCACAGCGCATCCAAGAACAAAGCAACCTATGCTTGCAGTAGAAACTCTCAATGCTTCAATGCGGACAGGGGTGGCTATTACTGCTATTGCCCCGATGGTAATCCCAATGGGATTCCTTACACTCAAGAAGGCTGTACTGGTGAGACTTCTAACCAAACCAAAGGCTGCAGAAGTTTTTTTTATGTAGAGCTTCTACCTTATTAAGTCAATTAAGTATAATTAGTACTTTTATGATTTTTTGTTGTGCATACATTGAATTGATTAGTTACATGATCATCAAATTGCACTATTTGGATCTCTTGTCTGTCATAATGATTTCGAAAAAAAAATATTGGTTAAAAATTTTGGGGAGATCTAACAGTGAAACGACAGAGGACTCGGGGTGCGGGCTAACTAATGGAGCCTATTTGCCAGGTCGGTGGTGATGGTGTAATAGTATAGATTGTCCATTGTGAGGTCCAAATATCGCTGATAGGGGTGGTGCGGCATAACAATCATCACTACTGCTCCCTCCGTTTCAGGTTATAAGACTTTCTAACATTGCCCATATTCATATAGATGTTAATGAATCTAGTCACATATAAATGTTTAGATTCATTAACATATATATATGAATATGGGCAATGCTAGAAGGTCTTATAATATGAAATGGAGGAGTAACATTTTAGGTAGTATTGATATTCTATCAGTTCCATACAAATTTAAAAGCATAAATTTCACAAAACTATAGATAATTTGACTAAACTATCACAAAGTTACAAATTTAAAATGATCCATTACAAAACCACAAATTTAACATCAAATTTATCAAAAAAATATTAAGATGTAGTATGTTAAAACTATATATTTTGTAATAAAAGTTTTCAGAGTTAGTGCTCATTTAACTAAAAAATATATAATGTTTATAACTCCAGTAGAACATTAGTGCTAAGGGTCTAAACTCTGAAGCGCATATGTAGTTTTATGATAACTTCATTAGTAAATCTATTTATACTTTTGCGATACCCTATTTTAAATTATATATTTTCATGATAAATTAGTGCTAAATCCGTAGTTTTCTAATACGATGTATAAAAGTTGTAGTTTTGCAAGATCAAAATATCAGTGGTTTTACCAAATTTGTTTATTTTTAATTCTTAAGTGAAGAAAACTTTACACATGCATGTTGCATCTTCAGTCTAAGGCTCTGTTTGAATATAAGTAGTAGTAGTTTTTTTTTTCAGCACGCAGAGGTAACCATTAGCACATAATAAATTGAGTATTAATTATTATAACTTAAAAGATGATATTATTTTTAAGAGATTTTCTCAGTCCAACAAAAAGTACCTCGAGGTACCGGTACCTCACGGACCTCGAGGTACTTTTTGTTGGACTGGAGCAAATCTTTTTTTTAAGTTATATATAGTTTTAAGAAAAATACAATTTTAGCATTTTAAAAAATATGCTCAAAGTAAACGAGAGAGTTGTGAAAACTAAACAAACTACCGAACGGAGCCTAAGGCATCCACTAAATTTAGATAACCAAACCCATATATATATATATATATATATATATATATATATATATATATATATATATATATATATATATATATGCTCCTTTTGTGAAAAGAACATTGCTCATAATATAATAGTTTAATTTCCTGTATCATTGAGCAGGTTACAATCCCTTTCCGAAAGGAATATGTAACAGATTTTGTGGAAATACAAATGTGCCCTTCCCATTTGGGCTTGAAGAAGGTTGCTACGCGCTAGAAAAGTTTCGACTTAACTGCAGAGCAGGAAAACTATTTCTGGATCGAGGAGATGTAGACTATCTCGTGAGGAACATTTCAGTGGACAATGGATATATGAGCGTAACCAACGAGCAGAACAATTCAACTTCTAACGGCACAGAGATCATGGTAGTTGCTCGTACTATGCATGGCTCCTCGGAAGATGACCCTCAGTTAGATCTTTTTGATTTAACTCAAGAAAATGATATGAAGATGTGGTGGGCTGTCGTGAGTTTTACTTGCCAGGAAGCTACGCAAGACATCAATAACAATTCCTATGCATGCCGTAGTGTCCATAGCGAATGCATCGATGTCAATGTAACACATGGGACACAGCTTGGCTACCGTTGTAAGTGCTCTCCTGGCTTCGGAGGAAATCCATACATCGAAGATGGTTGCACGGGTGCGGAAACTCTCTCTCTTACCATCGTTTTAAGATGATTATTTCTTACGGATCATCCAAATTTGTGGGCTAGCTGTCCATTTTATACCATGTTATGTTACTTTTATCTCTCTTAAGCCTTATTTGAGAAAAATAAAATAATGCATTATTGGCGTGGAGTAGTTTGCATGTAGACGTGATATGTCACCACAGTAACATAGCAATTAATTCGAAGGACTTTAAAGGTTTCGAGAAGTGCATGCTGACTTTTTCTTTTGTTTGAAGATGTCAATGAGTGCTTGCTACCGAACTACTGCAATGGGAGATGTCAAAATTTTATTGGAGGCTATAATTGCACAAGTTGCCCTCGCGGGAAAGAGTTCGACCCAACAAGAAGGGAATGTGTGACATCAGCTAAGCTCATTAGTAAGTTATATATACTATTGAATTGCCCTCAGTGGTTAATACTTAATTACTCTAAAAAATCTACCTGAGGCAATTTATAGGTGATGTTCTGACTATTGTCGATATATAATTGTTGTAGGTATGGCACTTGGAATTAGTTGTGGTCTTGGCTTTGTAATGCTTGCACTTGGTGCAACTATACTTATCACCAAGTGGAAGAGAGGTATACAGAGGAGAATTCGAAGGGCATATTTCAAGAAAAACCAAGGCCTACTCTTGGAACAACTAATTATAGATGAAAATACTAAAGACAAAACAAGGATATTCTCATTGGAGGAACTAGAGAAGGCAACATATAACTTTGATGCTACTCGAGTTCTTGGTCATGGAGGACATGGTACAGTTTATAAAGGAATTTTATCCGATCAACGTGTGGTGGCTGTTAAGATGTCTAAAATAGTGGAGCAAGCTGAGATAGATCAATTTGTTAATGAGGTTGCCATCTTGTCGCAAATCATTCATCGTAATGTGGTGAAGCTTTTTGGTTGTTGTCTTGAAACAGAGGTACCTTTATTGGTTTACGAGTTCATATCTAATGGGACACTATGTGAACTTCTTCACAATGATGTAAGTGCTAAATGCCTTCTATCATGGGATGATCGTATTAGGATTGCAATCGAAACTGCAGGAGCTCTTGCTTATCTCCACTCGGCTGCTGCAATACCAATTTTTCATAGAGATGTTAAATCTTCCAACATACTCCTAGATGACAACTTTACTGCAAAGGTTTCTGACTTTGGTGCTTCGAGATCCATACCACTCGATCAAACTCATGTGGTAACAATGGTACAAGGCACATTTGGTTACTTAGATCCAGAGTACTACAACACTAGCCAACTAACGGGGAAAAGTGACGTGTATAGTTTTGGAGTGATACTTGTTGAGCTTCTGACAAGAAAGAAGCCAATTTTAATAAATGATGTAGGTACAAAACAAAACTTATCACAATGCTTCCTAGAAGGACTTCAGCAGGGAGTTCTGATGGAAATCTTGGATTCCCAAGTTTTGGAAGAGGCTGGACAGGAAGAAATTGATGATATCGCTTCAATTGCACAAGCATGCTTGAAAGCTAAAGGAGGAGAGAGACCTACTATGAAAGAAGTAGAAATGAGATTGCAGTTTCTTAGAACTACCAGACTAAAAAAGTGCCAACCCATTTCTGTAATGGATGAAGAGATTGAGCCTTTTATTTGTCCAAAGACCATTAGCTCTGATGCTCAAAGCAGTTTCATCCATACTGCTGGTTTTACATCAGAATATAGCACAAGAAGTTACAGGTTGGAGCAGGAACTCTCGTCCTCAGTTGGTTTGCCACGATAAAAATTTGCGCAACAGCATGGTCGACTCCTTGAAGCTTGTTAGAAGGCATCTAAATTATTTTTCCTATATTTTCATACCCTATTTTTATTTAATTTATGTATCTGTCTTTATGGTGTTGTAAAAAAAAAGTATACTGAGGGCCCCTTTGAATCGCAGGGTAGAAAAAACGGAGGAATAGGAAAAACATAGGATTCTGACAGGAATTGAAGTGTAAAACAGAGGATTGCAAAACACAGGAAAAACACAGGAATGGTCGTTTGATTGGAGCGCAGGAAAAACGCAGGAATCGGATGAGAGAGATAGACTCAAAGGAAATTTTCCAAGAGGTTGGAGCTCTTGCTAAATTTCCTCCAAAATCTACATACAATGTGTCATTCCATAGGAATTTCATAGGATTTGGAAAGCTTCAATCCTTTGAATCAAAGGGCCAAATAGGAAAATTTCCTATAGGATTTAAATCCTATGAAATTCCTACATAAATCCTTTGATTCAAAGAGGCCCTGAATATGTGTATCTTGGTTTTCTCTACTTCCATGTTGTATCTGTAGAGCAATATATTATCATTGTGCTTGTATGGTGACATTTGAGAATTGAGGTGGTGGACTGGTGATAATGTATAGACGTATTAGTACCGTTGTTCGGCTTAGGTGCAAGGGCACCGCACTGCACATAGTAAAATACATGCCAAATCACATCATGACACCCGTTAAGGTAGCACCACCCAATCACTACTTCTCTCTCCTAGCTCATTTCATCGCTTCTTAGAGCCAATACAATAATATAACCAACAGCGAGCTATAATTTTTACCATGTCATCTTGAGATGGAGGAATAAACGATCACTAGAACAGAAATCTACAGTACGATGATAACAGAAGCACTATTTTATTTTATTAGGGCCCACCATTCCCTTTTGCCACTCTCTCAGCCAACTGTAGAAAGTAGCGCTCTGTGTTAGAGCCTGTGTAAAAGCGAGCGCTTAATCTATCATCGACTAACACTCTCTTTCATGTATTTTTCTCTCAAGCTCATCAATCATGTTAACATGTACGTCTATCACCGGCTGAACATGCTCTATTGAACTCACTCTTAGAGCAAGTTTAACATGTGTAGATAGCTACCGGCGATAAAAAAGAACATGTCAGCGGCATCAGATAACCAAAAGATGGTGTACGTACAGAAGATGGCTATACATACAAGCTTCAATGAATTAATTTATCTTTTCTTTTTGAGAAAATCTATGAAATGCCATTGACAAGAACTCTAATCCCAGAAATGCCATTGACAAGCGCAACTTCCTCAAAATGCCATCGTACAAGCGTTTTTCTCCCTGAAATGCCATCACAGTCAACTTACCGTTTAGTCCACACCGTTAGAAATTTTTTTTACCAGAATGACAAGATTACCCTCGCTCCAAATTTTACTATCCAGAGGGTAAAAGAAAAGAAATTGGGGAAAAGAAAAGACAACCCTAAACCTAACCGATGGGGGGCGACGACGGCGGCGATGCGGTGTCCCCAGGCGACGGCGCGGTGACGGTCGCAGGCGGCGAGGCGGTGCTCCCGGGCGGCAGCACGGGGGTCCCCGGCGGCGGCGTGGAGGTGCTCTCGGGCGGCGGCGCGAGGGTCCCCAGCGGCGACACGGCGGCGCTTGCAGGCGGCGAGGCGGCGCTCCCGGGCGGCGGCGCGGGGGTCCCCCGGCGGCGGCGCGCGGCCCCCAGGCGGCGGTGCGGCGGCTCCAAGCGACGGTGCAGCGGCCCCCAGCGACGGCGCGGGGCTCCCAGGCGGCGGTGCAGCGGCCCTCAACTGCGATGTGGTGCTCCCAGGTGGCGGCACGGCAGCTCCAGGCAGCGGCGCATCGGCCCCAGGCTGAAATAATTGATAGCAAAATTTCTGAAATAATTTTGATGCAAAAATTTGTGAATTTAATTTTGAAATAATTTGATTGATAGCAAAATAATACACATATGTGAATTTAAATATGCATCAATTCAAAATGATATTGTGTGAGCAAACAATACAAAATAATGATGTTGTTTGAGCAAAAAGTTTGCCCAGGGGTAAGATTGTCTTCTCATACAACTTAACGGAGAGGAGTTAACAGCAGTATGGTTGTGATGGCATTTCTGGGAGAAAAACGCTTGTACGATGGCATTTTGAGTAAATTGCGCTTGTCAATGGCATTTCTGGGATTAGAGTGCTTGTCAATGGTATTTCATGGATTTTCTCTTTCTTTTTACTAATTTAACTTTCCACCAGACCATCACTCGCTCATTACTGCACATCATCTCGTGTGTGGAGCCCACGTTTGTGTTGGATAAGATTTTCTATGGTTTCTCTAGTCTTGGAGCTTGTGTTTAGTTGGCGATAATTTTATCGTCGGCTTGCACTCTCTTTTCTGGTTTTTTTCATTCAGCTCATCAGTTTTGTCAGGTTGGTTGCGCTATCGCTGGTTTAAACTTCTTATTATACCTGTCTTATCCCCCTCTTCATGCCTTTCTTTTCTCTCTATCCAACTCCCAGAAAATTAAGCCACAGAGCACATCTTGCGGATCTTGCTGTACTCTAGGAGCAAGCCATGGGAATGGATCGTAGGATCGTAGTGCTCACGGTGACTTCCACGGGATGAGGCGTTGTTGCTTGCCGATGGGTAACGGGAACTGCTGTGCTCCGAAGCTGCGGCGCTGTCGAGGCAGGTCGCCGGGGTACGGAGCGGCGTTACCGCGTTACTCGTCGATGGGTCATGCGAGCCGCGGCATACAGTTCCTTCGTTTGTTGCAAATCACATTTATCGTGCCAGAATTTTCAAATCCATAAGCCAATATCTGCTGCGAGAGTGGATTATATATTCTCACGTACGGGAACATCTCTCCATGTTTACCTATTATATCCAAATAGTTATGAATTTCTTTTTAAAAAATCAACAAAATAGATTAATATGTGATAGATCACTCTACAAACAGGTAAGTTAAAATTCAACTTTTACAAGTTGAAAAAAAATGTCTACTTAACATATATTCACAATTAAATTTATTTTTATTGCAACTTGTATAAATTAAAATTTGACATTGCATGTTTGTGGAGTAATTTATCACTTATTAATTTATCTTGTTTTTTTTTCTAATTTATCATAACCATGTGGGTGACAAGCAAACAACGAAGAACCCCTTAAGAGTTTAGAATAGTTCCCCTATTTGTTGCTTACCTTTTTGTTTAGATAATGAAAATGGTTTACATCTCCGCCTCACCAATGTTTTTTAAATGAAAACGAAAGAAAAAAAAAAGAGTAATGGGACAAGTTCCCAACTCCTCTGAGAAGATGCTGCATACACTAATAGAAAAAAGATTTTTCCCAAGGAGGCCCATATCATTATATAGGCAGGCCACATTTTCGGCCACAAACGTTACGTTTGCCTGTATAGTTATGAACGGGGATACAATGGATATCCATCTGCGAAAATGCAACTTCGCATGTGAACAACTTAAGTTGTCCGTCTGTGATATATTTTAGCATACGGAACCTTAAGCCATCCACTTGCGAAAATATATGAATTATTACAGAAGGGCAGAAGGGCTGCTTATGACGCCCGTCTGAAAAAATCCGATGCGATGCTAGACCACCCATAAATATCTAAGTGAAAGGGACTCATCCACCACCCATACACCCTTACTATTGTACCATGTATCTCTAACCATAGCTCTAAATGATATGGAAATTTTTGGGGCTATCAACTGGCTATACTATTGATCCTGCTTATGGCCCACAAAGTCACCACTACTTGTGTCAATTTGTTATTGGACAGTGAACAGATCATCGAAGTGAGGTCCTGACAAGGTATCATATCCTTCCCTATCCAGATATCTAACCGGTATTACACGATACCTATTAGGTATCAAACGATTTTTATCACGTATCAAATCATACTTGAGAGGTATCAGGCGATTCCTACCAAGTATTAGGTGATACCTATAGGTATTGATGATACTTAGTTGGTACCATATGTTCATACTCGTCGATATCACCTAATACTCGTCGATACCAGAGCAATACCTACCAGATATCATGTGATTCTTACTAAGGCCCTGTTTGGGGGAGCTTTAAATTCTGAGAAGCAGCTGTTTGGTAGCCAGCTTCTGAGAATCTGGAAAAGCTCTGAAACCCAGCTTCTATAGCTTCTGGCTTCGTAGTTTATTTTTCAGAATATGTAACTACAGATTCTCAGAAGCTGTGGACTGTCTGGATCAGTTTCTAGCAGAAGCAATTTTTGAGAAAAGCTGCAGCTGAGAGAAGCTCCCCCAAACAGGACCTAAGTATAAGGAGTTGGGCATCGAGACGTCGTCACTGGTGGCAATGTCCTCCATGTTGAGCAGGTTCTTCACCGTCACGCCTCACGCTGAAGCTTTGGTGGCAGCGGGCCCACCATCCACGTCCCACCCCAGAGCTTGTCGCCGGCGGACACGCGTCCTCCATCGTCCACGTGGGCGTGGCTACAGGGGCATAATGGCTGTCTGGCTGAGCCGAATGAGGCCTAGGAAGTACTTGGACTGGGATTTGAGAGGCTTTCCGCATAAGTTGTGAGCTTTGTTTCTGAGAGGAAAAGCCGAAAAAGGTTGTCGCAGAAGAAAGGAGAAGGAAAAAAGGCCGCTTGGAATTTTATTCACATCCCTCGAAGAAGACAGCTCCAAAGCAGGAGCTCCTCTTGTTACAGAAATATAAGGTCTGTCTGAAGCTCCAAATATTCATCATTATCATCAACCTATATTTCTATCTGATGACAGACGGTGGCCGAAGCAATTCGAATAGATGACTTCATCAATGAGCTAGGACATTGGACCCTAAGGCCTGCATTTTACAAAATAAATAACATTCTGTAGGGTCAACATATGCAAATCAAATCAAATGGATTCCTAGAGAAATGAACAAGGTTGCTGATGGTCCTGCGAGAGCAACTAGACAAACTTCAGAGCAAAATCAGATGGCCTTTGACTGTAGTAATAGTACTCATATTTGCCAACAAAGTGTATGTCCGATCAAGAAAAGGAGATGTAAGAATCACTCTTGCCTTGTGTTTTTAAAACTTTCAAACAAATAAAGTGCATGAGTTCTAAAAGAAAAACTAGAAAACAATGTTCCCAACTATCAAAATGTTATCGGATTCTTTAGGCTATGTTCGGTAGCTAGGTTTGGGAACTCTCTTCCCGTGCACGTAAAATGGAGCAACTTATTACCACATAGTTAATTAGGTTTTAGCTTTTTTTAAAAAAAATATAATTTTTAAAGCAACTTTTATATATATATATTTTAAAAACACATCGTTTAACCGCTCGAACAAGGTACGCACGGAGAATGAGGGGTAGACAATGAGTAGTTGCACGTTCATACACAGCCTACAAGTATGGCCCAATTAGTTTCGGGTTTGTTAGAGCAATAACTACACTTTGACTCCCTTAACTAGGGGCCAAATCTGATTCGTATCCCTAAACCACAATTCCGGATATCTCAACCCCCTAACTATTAAAACCGGTGGAATTTGACTCCCACGATGGTTTTGAAGGGTAGTTTCGCTAACATGGCGCTTACGTGGCGGTGTTGACTCGGTCTTCATTCCACGTGGCATTGATGTGGCAGTATAATTAAAATTATATGTGGGACCAATTTGTCATCCACACAAAAATATATGGTTAATTGGATCTATGCCACTGGAAATGTGATAAATTAGAAAAATGTCACTACTATTCGCGATAACGGCTAGGTGCCACTGGAATTTTGAGAAATTAGATCCATGCCACTCCATCACATTTTTCGTCCTTCCCGTCACTCTTTCCATCCTTCCCATCACTTTTTCGAGTACGGAGGCCAGCATCGTGGGCGGAAGGAAAACGAAATGCCGATGAAAAATGGGGAGCGGCGGAGCGGATGAAAAACGGGGAGCGGTGTCGTGGGCGGAAGGGAAGGGAAGTAGGCGGAGCGGCGGAGTTGCCGGAGCCGCTGCTTTCTCCGAGCCCCTGGTGTGGCAGGCGCGCCACTCCTCGGCGCAGCCTCCTCCCCGGCCTCTCTCCCTTTTCATCTTAGATCTGCCCGAAGGGAGGCCGTCGACAGCAATGGCGCCCCTCCCTGAAGGCACGGTAGCGGCGGCGCGACTCCCTCCCTCCCTCCCTCCCTCCCTCTTCCTCTCACCCTGGCCCTGAGGGGGGAGGGGACGAAGAAGGAGGACGATGGCGGCGGCGCGACTCTCTCCCTCAATCCTGGTGGTGGCTCGGCGACAAGTAAGGGCGACAGGAGCCCAGCTCCTCTCTCCCCTCTTCTCCTCTTCTCATCCCTGCTTCTCCCTTCTAATCGCGGTGGTGGAGCTAGTTTAGGGTCAGGGCAAGAGGCAGGCCTCACCGCGGTGCTCGCGGCGACCCGCGCCGCGGCCGACATGCGCGTCAAGCTCAGACGCCAGGTGCAGTACTCCGTCCCCCTCGACGACCGCTCCTCGGATGCCAACACGGTTATCAAGTACACCTCCGCGAGCTCGCCGCCGACCCACTCCTCACCTGCTACGGTGCAGTCCTGCTTCGGCTTCAGCAGGAGCTACAACCTTGTCGTCTTTGAGCTCTCACACAACTCACTTGATGGCCCCATACCGGACGCCCGCACACACGCCGTCGCTGCTATAGCACCTGCCGCCACCCCTCCGGCCCCCGCTCGCCGCCGCCACGACCGATTTGGCCCCCGTTCCCCGCGTACATCCGTAGGGGAATAGAAAGGAGGATAGAAAGGGAGGGAAGGGAGATAAAGGGAGGAGGAAGAAGGGAAGGAGAGAGGATGACATGTGGGCTTCACATATAAGTGGGTCCTACAATATTTTTTTTGGATGAAAAATGGGTCCCACATATTTTTTTTAATTCTACTGCCACATAAGTGCCACATCAACGCCACGTGGAACGAAGCCCAAGTCAACACCGCCACGTACGCATCACGTCAGCGAAACCGTCCTTCAAAACCATCGAGGGAATCAATTGCACCGGTTTTAATAGTCGGGGGTTGAGATATCCGGTATTGTGGTTTAGGGATAGGGATGGCAGTTTTGCCCATGGGTTCGGGTATCCGCGGATACCCGACCCAATGGGCACGGGCATGGGTGTAAAATTTTACCCGTGGGCTTGTCCGCCCAAGACCCGTAGACATCGTGGGCAACAGCCGGGCTTCATTTTTTACCTGTGGGTAACCCATGCCTGACCCGATACATTTGTATTAGCTAATTTCGATTTATCTCTTAATTATTATACCCCCTTCTCTTGGTTCATTTGTGATACTAACTAATAATAAGTTGCGATGTAATTCAAATTATTATTGATAATTGATAATTTGGTAAATTGTTGATTTTATTTTTCTTTGTTAAATTATATATCTTTCGAGTTATTATTCATGTGAGATCCATTGGGTACCCGACGGGCATACCCGTGCCCGTCGGGCATGGGTACGGGCATAGAGTTTTACCCACTAACCCTAGTGGGTAGGATTTGGGCGGGCGACGACGGGCATGGGGTCAGGCATGGTTTTGCTCTACCCGTGACCAACCCGACCCGTTGCCATCCCTATTTAGGGATACAAATCAGATTCGGTCACTAGTTAAAGGAGTCAAACTGAACTTATTCCTTCGTTAGAAACGCAGCCGGCCCAGCCGAGCCCGGAGCCCGTGCACCCCGGAACCGTGCAGGCTGCCTACGCGAAAGCGGAACAGCGCCACCGCGACAGACAGGCAGGCAGCAACTACCCGACCGATCGCCTCCTCTTCCTCCTCCTTCCCACCTCCCGCCCACGCCTCCAGATCTCCGCGAGCTTCGACCGCCACCGCGACCGCCGCCGCAGCAAGCAGCGTCATCCCCCGCGCGACGCCAGGCATGGCGGCCTTCACCAAGCTCGAGGACTCCCCCATGTTCCGCAAGCAGGTGCGCCGCCCCGCCGAACCCTCTCTTCTCTCCCTGCCCGCGGGAGGTGTCACCTTTTGATCCGGTCCTCTCAGGGTTCGTTGCTTTCGGGCGAGATCTCGCCTCCGGCTCCGCGTCGTTGGTATTTGGATCGTACGTGGTGGGGGATTTAGGGGGGGTGGAGCTGGAGGTTGGGGTGATTGTGGTAGCTTTGGGCTGGGATTTGGGAGGTTGGGCGCATTCTGTGTGGCGAGATCTCGACCTGATTGCATGCTTTATTGGCCGTTGATTGGTTCGGAAATGCGATTGTTCCTGAGTAGAATGGATATCAAATTCCGCTTTGGTTTCGACGAATACCGTAGGTTGGTTTTGATTTGCCGGCATGAGTGCATTGTAGGTTGCAAAAGGAATATTATTTTACATTTATTGTGTGTTCTCTGTTCCTTTCCCGATCGTTTTCATCTTTGAGCAGTGCTGCATTTCTGATTGTAATGGTGCCATTTTATTTTTATTGCTGCATCACACACTTGAACAATTTTTTAATTCATCGTCTAATTTCTCGAGATAAAATCCTGTAAAAACTTAGGGACGAAATAAGCTAGACGATTTTCTTTTCCAGTTCAAATGGCTGGTTTGGGTTATTAGAAGCCATAGAAAAAATAGTGACCTATTATTTAGGCCCTGTTTGTTTCAGCTTAAGTTTATTGTAATCTACATTATTGAGCCAGATTACTGTAAGCTGAATTATAATAAGCCGACATAGAATAAGCTGTGAGCTGTTTGTTTCTCTGGATTATAAGCTGTTCGTTAGCTGTTAGCCATCCAATAATCTAAAAAAACACCTTTAGAGTGGATTACTAGATTATAGTAATCTGGCTTATAGATTGTAATAATCTATCATAATAAGCTATCTGTTTGTTTCAGCTTATTCCTAATAATCCAGATTATAATAATTCTAAGCTGAATCAAACAGTGCCTTAGACTCGAAGGCTGTGTGTAGATTGGTTTTAGTAGTTTTAATATATAATTTGGACTGCAAGCTTCCTGCTTGTGCTATCAAGTTGAATCTTCTCTTTTTCCTGATAAATCCTTTTGTTTTCATCTTAAACAGACCTTTACATGCATATATGCTATTGATTGCGGCTTATTTCCATTGATTTGCAGGTCAATTCTATGGAACAGCTAAGCGATGAACTGAAACAACGGTGTTCAAATCTTCATAAAGGATGCAAAAGATTCATGTACATTAAGCTCCCAACTACTGTTTTTTTTGGGCGAGCTACTAACTTTGCAGCACAGGCGTACACTCGATGCAGAATGCGTAGCATGATTATTATTATTATTTTTGGTTTAAGAAAGACATCACTCTAGGTTTATGCCGATGTAAGTCAATATCAAGTTTCTGTAGCATACAACCTTTTACTGCAATGCACACAATTACACGATTTCAAAACTTGTTTCTGTTTCTATGGTCCAATATGAATTGTCTGCAAGTTTATATCGACAAAAATGTTTATTGGATAAAATTGTGTCAATAAATGACTTTGCATTCTTCTTTCTTACTTTTCTAGTTCAGGATTAATATTTTTTTGTTACCATGTTACATGTAATAATTTGTAGTTCCTATTGTTCCTAGGATAGACAACGATAATAAAAAACCATATGTTCGATATATTGTTTTGTTATAGTATTGCTGATAACCTTAGTTTCAGGGGATCACTTGATGAAGGATACGCGGGAGATCTAACATTTGCCGATGCTCTAGAAGCATTTGGTGCTGGTCAAGATGATCCTGTTAGTGTTGCCATTGGAGGTTAATTTCATCAAATCTCTGTTATATCTGTTGCTTAATTTTTCCTGGTTTCCCATCCATAGATAGCTAAACAACTGAGTCCATCCTTGCCAATTGCTAAACATCTTGCCACGTTGGTGTCCTTTTGTCTCCTATCGATTATGTACCACATCTTTAATTTTATGTCTGTTCCCTCTCTTAAGGAAAGATCACAGTAACAGATCATTAGAATATATATAAATGCAGACATAAGCAAGCACATACTATGTACTTCTTTTATTTTACTTATTAATATGTTGTAGGCTTGTAGTATGATAACACAATGTTTCTTAACTGTAATGGTTTAATGCAATGCCATTTCACTGAAATTATGGAATGCAAATTTGTTAATAAAGTGAAGTTCATGAACACATTCAGCTTTCAATGTGGAAGATCCAAATTCTGAATTCTGTTGCAGGGCCTGTAATGTCCAAGTTCACTACTGCTTTTAGGGAGCTTGGAACATACAAGGAACTCCTTCGTTCTCAGGTAAAATCTATTCTATGCCATTGAATTCTTTATGTACTACTCCCTCTGTCCCACAAAATATGGAATCCTGGATTCCCAATGCAAATTTAGTAATAACATAGAAAGACCAAAGTGCCCTCATTACTACATTCATTCATCCACCCATTAATTCACACAGCACATACTATAAGAAAAAAAAAGAGGCATCTGGCACAAAAATAAGCGCCAAAAATTTGAAATTTTCTAGTACCTGCAGAAAGAAAAGAGAACATCTCCCATCTGAAAAAAATAAATGCTGGCAAGAAATGCTCTTATTTAACCTGCAAAAATTAACAAGAACCAAGAACAGAGAAGAGAAAGGTTGTCCGCCTTCACCAAGGTGGCAGTCATCCACGGTGCGCCTAAGGGCAAGAAGAATTCAATACAGTTAACAAGGTCGAAGGGCAGAAAGAAACCTCGGTGGAAAAGAAGAATAGATGGAAAAAGAATACAAATGGGGTTCATTCTAATGGCACGCTTCTCGAACTCATTGACCACCTCAGTGCTGGGAGATCCACGGGCGCCTCCCTCTCCGCGGCGGCACCCGAGCTGCATTCCATCTAACGTCGTTGCCAGCATCGGATTTGCCTCTTGCGAATCTCCTCTGCACCGCATCCATCCGCCACCGATGCAGCCGTCACATCCAGGTTGCAGCATCAGGGTGGACGCATAAGGTCGTCGGGAGGAGCGAGAGGGGAGCGCGAGACAGTGGCGCAGTGGGCATGGGGATGGAGATGGAGATGGAGATCGTTGGAGCGCCGCATTGATGAACGGGCGAGACGATGGTGAATGAGAGAGACTCGAGCGAGATGGGTGTGTGCCTGGGAAGAGATAAGGTCCTTCTCGACCACCGATGTGAAGTAGTCAGTCATTGAATGTTTCACTTTTTTGTGTACAGATCGTTTTTTTTTCTGGGACCCTCCTCCAGAAATCCTTTTTGTGGGACGGAGGGAGTAATTGGCACCCTGTGCGCTGCAACACGCTGATCAATTGTTAATATGAAAAATTAGCTGGGTGATGGAACGAAAAAAAGAGCATAGCATAGTAACATTTTTCATTTTGATACATTCTGATTGCATTGGTGAAAGAATGTGCATTTAATTTTAGATAAAAAATGCTTCCTGTCCAAATTTGAACTGCAATAAATAGGACTCTACATAAAGATTGTCCAGTTTCATCATAACATAAATGTTCCATGAAATACAAATCGAAGTGAATGTACCTCCTTCAATTGCTTAATGCAAACACTTGGAAACAAGAAAAAAATAAGTAAGATATATTCAATTGTTTGTTTCCAAATCTGTAGTTTTGTGACAAGACTCAGTTGATTCTGACTCACCAAAGCATTCAACGGGAGGAAGCATAGGGGAGAGGAATGAGGTGGGTATTATGACCTGTGATTATTGTAGTATTTGATGGGATGATAAACTCAAGCATACGTGCGGTACTTCTCTGGTAGACCCATGGTGTTGGGTGTCAAGGTGTGGAGGACTTGTGGGCTACGCATTATGCCAGACATGGAGCACCAGAGTGAGGGCAGGTGTGCGCTGAGGAACGGAGGAAGGCATATAGTAGGGGATGGACGCTGAAGATGCAGATTAAATTCCTCACATCCTACCTTGTCTGCACCAGTGCGGTCCACTCAGATTCCTTGCCATTGCATCAGCGGTTACAGAAGAGGATGTGATGATGATTGATTAGTGAGAGGATGAGAGAATGGAGCATGTAAGGAAGCGTGGTAGTTGGGCCGGATCATTTGCAGGTTGATGACTTAATCAGGAATTTTTGGAACATGTAGGTTTTTTGCATGGCATATACAAATTGAGGTGACATGGCACGATGAGAGTAGAGGAAAATAGCTTTAATTGCAGTTAGTGGGAATGAACTTTATAGGTACATAGGATTCTCCTTCTCCATATGTTGTTTCATACGTCCATGTCACTCATCGGTAATGAAATTGAAAAGTAAGATTGCTGAATGGGACTAGGAGTTCCCTTTTGATGCAAATAACACTGTGACACTGTAAAAGGGTTATTTGCAAAGAAGAACCGTTTTTGTTCTTTTTATTTTTACTAGCTTAACAGATTGAATCTCTATCATTCTAATCAGTATGTGTCCTCAACCAGGTTGATCATATGCTTAGTGAACGTTTGATGCAATTCATTGATGTGGATTTGCATGGCGTGAAGGTGAGGGTGACAACCTCCTGCCCCAAAAAATTAAGCACACTACTGAGATCTGTATTTATGTAGGTAGTACCTCAGGTTTTGCTCTTCTTCATGGATACTTGCTTGCGTGCTTGACTTTTTGTTGGATCCGAATTTCAAGCCTTTTGCTTCTGACAATGAAAAAATTGCATGAAGTGATCTTAGAAATGTAGTTCGAGTTTCACTGACTTCCATTTTGGGTAATGGGAACAATATATGGATGTCCTTCTGTCTTAAATACAATACACCTGCCCTACTGTCTTGATGTTCATGTGGAAGTTTTTAACACATTAATTAGTTAATACTATAGGCTAACATCCTGCACTGTATATAGGATTGTCGTCAGCGTTTGGATAGGGCTACAGTGGGGTATGATCAGGTGATATCTTGCACTCTAGCTATGTGATTACCTAGTTTTCAATTTGCATATTTCTTCATTTTGGCATGTGGTGCCCTATAAGAATATATGTTGCTATCTTGCTTGTCAGGCACGTGAAAAATTTGTATCAGTACGGAAAGGGACTAGAGCAGAAGTAGTGACAGGACTTGAGGAGGTGAACAGGGACAACTTGTTTTTTTTTCCGTAAGTGATCATTTATTTAATTTCTATACAACATCTCTAATTCCAAATTTGCAGGATCTACACAATGCCAAGTCAGCTTTCGAACGATGCCGCTTTAACCTAGTATGTATGAACATTTTTTTATATAGTGTTGCTAATTTTATTGATTTTGCCAAGCCAATAATTCTCCTTGGCTGTAAGGAATTCAGGTGCACGCACTTTCAAATATTGAAGCAAAGAAGAAGTATGAGTTCTTGGAATCAATAAGTGCAGTGATGGATGCCCATTTGAGATATTTCAAGCAGGCATGGTCACTCTATAATTCGATTGATTATTATTGTTTGGTTTATTGGGTTCTTCTTGATTTTGTTCTTTATGATCTAGGGATATGAACTACTGAGTCAAATGGAACCATTCATTCACCAGGTTTAGTAATCTCTTATCTGACCTATTGGTCTTAAACCGATGAACATTTATTTCAATCAGCATGGATCCATTGACCATAAGTTAACCATTAATATGCTAACTGTAAGGTTTTGATACAGGTTCTAACATATGCACAGCAATCAAAAGAAATGGCTATCAATGAACAAGATAAACTTGCAAAGAGAATTCAAGAATATAGGACTCAAGAGGAAATTGCGAACTTGAGAATGGCTAGTAATGTGGACACATCTACCAGTGGTGATGGTATCCATGTTGTTGGTCTTCAATCCTATAAAAAGATTGAAGCCCTAATGCAGTCAACTGCCAATGGCGAGGTACTTCCATTATCCACTGTTGAGTAAACAATCATAAATAATAGGCTAGGATACCTGGACGGCTAAGCTTGCTGCATCACTGTTCAATGTTCTGCTTCAGAGGGATTGATGATGTTTAAGAGCGAAGCACCTTTTATTTCTAAGATGGTGATTGCTTCTTCATGTATTCCTAAATTAGGTATCTAGGCAAAGAGATCGATGGTGTTATCCCTTTGGTTCAAATTCTAGTATTATAATGCCCTGTTATTCCCATTTATAATTCACCAGACTACATTTTAATTATATATAACATGCAACCTTTTTTTTAGTTAAGCTTTGTTGCTTTCTTTCACTAATTTATTTTTCTGGCAGGTTCAAATAATCAAACAAGGTTATCTCTTTAAGCGTTCTGAAAATTCACGAGAATGGAAGAGAAGGTTCTTTGTTCTCGACAGTCACGGGACTCTTTTCTACTACGGGAATAAAGGACAATCGGTATGCAATAAAAGTTAGCGATTTGTGGGCTGTCATGGATTGTTTAAAATGTATTATTTGGGAATTTATACCTTAATTGTGTTACATAATATACCTGAAATATTGAACAATTGCATGTTGTTTGTTCTGTATTTTATATTTATCTCTTTGTTCATGTGGGAAGCAAGGAGCGGCATCACAGCAAACAGCTGGTGAAGGGACTGGTGTTTTTAGTCGTTTCAGATTCTTGAACCAAAAGGCTCCAACTCAGGGTGACAATGCACTTTCGTGCCACAAAATTGATCTAAGAACTTCAACAATTAAGATTGATGCAGAAGAAAATGACCTAAGATTTTGCTTCAGAGTAATCTCTCCCATGAAAGCATACACTTTACAGGTAATTGGAACACTTTTAGGGTGTGTTCGGACCCAAGGGTTCCCAACCCTTCTCCATCGTATTCCGCGCGCACGCTTTTCAAACTGCTAAACGGTGTGTTTTTTGTAAAAAATTTCTATATGAAAGTTGCTTAAAAAAATCAAATTAATCCGTTTTTGAAAAAAAATTAGCAAATACTTAATTAATCACGCGCTAATGGACCGTTCCGTTTTCCGTGATCACTGTTCCGGGGTGGGAACGTGTTCTAGCGAACACAGCCTTAGTCTGTTACTCGGATGTCACATTTTCTGTGACACCAAATTTCTAGTCTTTGATGATACATGCATTGTTTTATATATTAATACTATAGACTTTGTCAATCGCAGGCAGAATCTGGTGCTGACCAAAAGGATTGGATTGAGAAAGTTACTGGAGTTATTGCATCACTGCTTAATTTACCATTCCCAAGACAGGTTTCGATACTTCCTATGGCAACACTTCATTTCTAGTCTTTCGTGCTTTTTGAAGAAAAACTTTGATATGCTACACTGCTTGCAAGTTGCATCTCCATTGCATAATAATCATTTAATATAGTAATAGTGCTTGTTCTGCCCCTTAAAATTAGCTCCATTTTAGTGCATTTTAATCATATATTCGAGCTATCGATTGTTCAGGATAATTTAGTATAATCGTATGCTGATTCAGTTAATCCCAGGTGTCGTATGGAAATCTAGAGGCGGAACATCATGGTTCTGCAAATTCTGTTGATTCTCTCTCTCTTGAGGAGAACAAAAGTCCAGAGGGACATGATGATATATTCAATCATCTCAGGAATATTCCTGGAAATGACAGTTGTGCAGAATGTCGTTCACCGGATCCTGATTGGGCATCTCTAAATTTAGGAATTCTTATTTGTATAGAGTGTTCTGGGGCTCACAGGAATCTTGGAGTCCATATTTCGAAGGTGTGAACTCTGTCACTTGTTCTTTCTTTTTGAGTCTAATTTATGCTACTTCATTGAAAGTTACGTTTTTGGTGACCTGACCCTGTCTTTCACAGGAAAGCACTTCAAAATTTTAAACTCATAAAAGTTATAACTTAGCCACGGTAGTAGTATAAAACTGTAATATAATAGTGGAACCATTTAAAGTTTAATGCTTATGCTATTGCCATTAATCATTACTGAAATGATTGGGGCTTAATGTAATGTTGTAAACTTTGTCAATGTCCAAAACATCGAGTAAAAAGGAATGGTGGATTGGTGGTAATAAATCAAATTAGAAGCAGAAAGCTTGGATAAGATCATAAGAATATCGACTCCAACCTCTGTTAACCTTCGACTCTTAAAATGAGATCCAGGCTGTGGTACCAACCTAGGCAATTCACAGTATCTAATTCACATGTTTTATCATTATTTTCTGACTATATATTTATAGAAATATTAAAAACATAATTGTATGAAAGTGTTTTTTTTTTCATGAACAATCTACCAAAACCATTTTCACATATCCTGATACTTATGCATCTATTACCAACTCCATGTAGTTATCAGTCACAGTTTCTTGTGATAATGCTATATGTACTTGATATAATACCTTAATGATAATTTGATGGAAAGATTAACTATTTTATTTTAGATTTTTGCTCATTTGTGTTTCTTGTTGTACCTTTCAATTGTATTTTCTAATGCATATAAGATGGTCAGAGCTAAGAACATTAATTTTGCAATACACTCTCTTGTGACTTTGTGATTTGTAGATTTCAAATATCATTTGATTTTCAGATTTAGCAGTAGTGTGGTCCATATTTAAGGATTGCTTTTGATGTACTTATTTGATGTAGGTTCGATCCTTGCGATTAGATGTCAAGGTATGGGAGCCAGTGATAATGGACTTGTTCCATGAACTTGGAAATGACTACACTAATTCCATTTGGGAAGCTATGCTTCCGAAAGAAGATCAAGGGTATGTTGAAGTGTATGTAAATGTATATTTTCTTAACTATGTTTTGCCTTCATGCTTTAGACAATTTTCTTCCTAGTTACACCTCTCTTCTGAAATTTGTAAGTAGTGGTATATTGACTAATACAAACATCAGCCAATATGCTTTTTGCCAAACTGGACCATGTGTACCAACTAGTTTTGTACTTCTGCATGTATTGTTTAGTCATTTTATTTTCTTTTATTTTACTCATTGGATTATTGTCAATTTAAGGAGCATAATACTGCACTACCGCATTTGTAATGGACTATAGCATTCTTGACTTAACTCAGACTTGAAATTTCCAATGGGATATTCTGTCTTGCACTGAAATGGATCAGTTTCATTATGGTAGGTGAATATAATCAGTGTAGCTAAGGAAGGTGTTCTATCATTTAGAAATGTTAATGCTAATAATTTCATTCACACGTTCAAGATAGGTTAGCTTTATTATCTTCTACAGATGAGTTGGAAGATCTCTCTTTTAATCTGATAGTGCCAATGAATATATTTCATACATTAATGGCATTGGCATCAGACATGTTCATTGTGTGTGGAAAAACTAAGTTTGCTCCTTTCTCCTATCTATTTTCTTCTTGATGTGTATGCAGAATAAACGAGTTTAATGATGCTATTCTTTTCATTGAAAAGCCTAAACCTACTGATGCTTTTTCAATAAAGGAAAGGTACATACAGACAAAGGTAAATTATTCTGTCCATCCTTTTATATGCTGAACCTAGCAATGCTTTCTTGATATTGATGTATATCCTTGTTAGTCATGTGCTAGTTGAAGATTGAATTCCAATGTAACCCTTGCCTTTTATTTTATAAATGTGTTGTTTTGCTATCCAGCTTCAGTTCTGTAGCTACGACTCACATGACTGATATCACATAAATCTTTTGGGAGGCTGGGGATGTTCACATGCACATATATTATATATAGTTAGCAGCAGTTGTATGGATCATGGGAAATCTTTATGATGTAACCATTTTACACTTTACTAGCACAATAGCCATGCGTTGCAGCAGTTTATTTAATATAAAACATAATTATGAGTTCTCTTAGTAAAAGAATATCTTGCCTCTACTTGGGTGAAGCGATGTTCTTCATCTTAAAAGGCAAAATTAAAAGAGTGTAGCTTATGTCTTGCTCAAATTTCAAATGGATGGTAAACAGAAGAGAGCAATCAAATTGCTCGTGTGGGGTCCACCAATCTCATGGGCCCACATGTTAGTTGGTGGTGGCGGAGGCAAACTCACCACCACCACTATGGTCTTTTATAAGAGCATAGATATAATTGGAGCCAGAACTCAGTCTATGGATTGGTTCACAACCAGATTTGTAGTTTGATTTATCATTTTATTTTCTGACTGTACTGTTTTTTTGACTGAAAGTACTGCCAGGTCTTTGCCCAGCAGTGTGATTTTCAATTATTGAAAGAATAATTATAGGAAATAATTACAGGAAGAAACAAGAGAAAAAAACAAAAGACCCTATAAAGTTTGTAACCAATTAACAACAGATTGCTTCAGGAGATCCTTCATTCTGCAGAGATGCAGAAGAATCTCATTTGTAAAGAGAGACTTCCAAGAATGGAACTGTTGCGGTCAGGGTACAAATACTGAAGATAATTGATAGAACATGAATGAATTGCATACTTAACAATTAACCCTTGGTATTTCAACTCTAAAACTTGCATAATTGATCAATGGCTGGCCGGAAACCACAAGCTTTTGTAGTGTGATCCATATGCAACGAAGTGTCGAGTAATGCAGGCTGCAACAACCCTCAAGTTCTTTTTTGCTTCAAATAGTTTCTATTGCTAATTTTGATAGTATTAACTTCATGTATGAATGGAAGATTTAGAGCTCCCTGTTTTCTTGATTCTGATGACCTTCTGTTTGTTGTGCCATCATTAATTACTGTAAATGATCTATGCAGTATGTCGACAAGCTTCTTATTGCCAAAGATACCAATCAAATTACCATTGATATATTGGAGGCTGTAAGGACGAATGATGTGAGGGCAGCATATCGCATTCTTGTGTTGGCTGATGTGAGCCCTAACATGATATATGATGAGTTAAACAATGATGTTCATCATGATCCTTCAGTAACAGATGGGAAGTTATTTGATCCAGCATCTTGTGATGTAAAGGATGATTCTGGGAAACCAGAAGGTTGTCTACAAGGCTGTTCCCTGTTGCACATTGCTTGCCAATATGGCCATTCTATAATGGCAGAGCTTCTGCTTCTTTTTGGTGCGGATATTAATAAGCAAGACTTCCATGGACGGACACCGTTGCACCATTGTGTCCGAAGGAAAAATGATGCACTTACCAAGCATCTGCTAAAGAGGTAGGATTGAATTTCTAGCAGTATGGAATATAGATAATTACAGCTATCCTTCCACTGTTGCCAAGCTGAAGTATCGAACTCTTTACATAAAGGCTATTTTTTTTTTGTTTCATTCAGCATAAAAGTACAGAATGAGACACTGAGGCATATATGATATGTTCTGGGGTCCTGACAATGTCTTTAGTAATCTTATCAATATAACCAAAATTGTATAAAATCAATTGGATGACTTGTTCGCCAAACACTTGGATTCATACTAGTCATCTCATCCCATGTCTAAGGTCCACTGGTCTATGGAGGTTTGTCTCATTTTCAGTCTCATCATACCTATAGCGCCTATCAGGTGGCATTCAGTTGGTTGGCATACCACTTGTGCTGTGAGTTGTGCCTTTTCGAGATCATCAATGATGCATTTCAACAGTTTAGTAGGAACAGAGAGGGAAACAGCAACAAAAAAGCATTTTCCTTTCCTCAGGCTATTATTACAATCCCTTTAATCCTGTGTTTGTCCTCCCATTTTCCTCAGGACAACAAAAAAAACCAATTAGTCACTGTTAATTTTTGTTTGACTACATGGATAATGTTAAATGGATTTCTGTTCCATAGGGGTGCAAGAACAACCATTAAAGATGGTGGAGGGTTGACTGCTTTAGAGAGAAGAATGGAACTTGGAGCAATAACTGATGAAGATTTGTTCATTTTATTTGTAAGGTATGATCAAGATTAGTAAAATTGCTTTTCACAATATTATCTTGGCAATTACTAGCAAATGCCAGTTTTTCATTTCCTTTTCAACGCTTGAAACCTTCTCTTGTTTTCAAAATATGATATTGTCTTCATGTCTGAGAAATAAAAGTACATCTCATATGCTAAATATTTGATCAAGCATACCCTAAGTAAACCTTTTTAGGAGATATCGATCTTTGCAGTTTCCTGAAATTTCATGAAGTAGCTTGTTTATGCCTGTTTCTTGAAGCCTTATGTTATTTCTAGTCATGAAGAATTTTGTTACTTAGTGGTGTAATAGGAATACTTGTTAAGAAAAAGGGTCTCATTTGGGGATGGTGTCTTCCCGCTTATGTGGGTTCAATACTGACGTTTTCCTAGCATGAACATATTAGTGTATCTTGATATGTACCAGTAATTGATTGTAGTAATTAACTTTGTTGCAACTTCTGACATTATAACGGACATGCTTGTGCAGGTGAAATGTCAAGAACACAGGTTTGTAGTAAGCAAATGTCTGTATCTGATAGAGTTGTACCAGTTTTTTTAGTTTATATAGAATGAATACATTTGTATCTTATTACGGTGAGATAAAATCTCTGACGGTCTGACCTTTGCGCTTCTGTCGTGTACTCGTGTGATCTTGCCAGTCTTCTCAGATCACTCTTTGTACAACAGTTGTAGCATAGCATATAGCATACATCAATCATTCATATACCAAAGTTTGTATCATTTCCTCCATCATCAAACATGTAATAACACGTTCGAGCAATATACCCGCATGCCATTATCGTGCGATTTTGAAATCCACTTACTAATTGCTGCCATGAGTTGTTTGCAGTTGTTTGTTTCATCTGAACCTATCAATTATGTGTGTATCGTTAGCAACTTAGCATCGCCCTGCGGCACTGATGCCTAGGCCTGCTGGATTTTTCACATTTTGGTCTTTTTGAAAAACTTGTTTCGCAAGTAGACCCCTAGAAAAACTTATCCCAAAAATGGTCCTTTTTGGGGCGCCAGAGTGGCTGGCGCCAGCCTCTTTGGCGCCGTCCCCCTGCCGACGTGGCGGGGCGATGCTGAGGTGGCTAGGGGGAGTGCGCCAGAGTGGCTGGCGCCCCCCCCCCTCCCCGAAATTTTTTATTTTTGTTTTATTTGTTTGATATTTTTTTCACGCTTAGGGACACACAAGAACCAACCATAGAAAAATTGAACTTAAATGGACGTAATATGTGACATGTAGAATTTTTCCTCTCCTCTCTCCGAACTAGTGCAGAGGAGAGAGATGTGCAACTTTTTTATTTTTATTTTATTTTTTTGATATTTTTTTCACACTTAGGAACTCACAGGAACCAACCATGTAAAAAATAAACTCAAACGGACGAAATATGTGGCATGTGAAATTTTCCAAAGCTCTACCGAAAAACTTCTCTCCTCGAAAACACAATCTTGCAAGCGGAATTTGGAGGTTTTAATATCGCCGAACCCAGCAAAGCTGAGGAGAATCGGATGTAACTTTTTCTGTAGATGTCCATGCATATATTATTTGCCTGATTCCGAGTCCGTATGAGAAAGTTACGCCTATTTTAATAGATGACATATTTTGTCCGTTTCGGTAGAGTTTTGGAAAATTCTACATGTCACATATTTTGTCCGTTTGAGTTTATTTTTTATACGGTTGGTTCCTATGTTCTCCTAAGTGTGAAAAAAATATCAAAAAAATGAAACAAAAATAAAAAATTATATCTCTATGTACTGTTTAACTTATATATGTCATTTAATGTGGTTATATTTTGAATTAGATTAAGTAATTTCATATAGTGGTAGAGTGCATTATGTTTAACATGCTGATCAAAGGGTTTTACTAAAGGAGTTATGGTCTAATTTTAGTGAAGGTGCAAAGTAGACTAAGTGGGTATGCTAGATATTTTCAGACTTAGCTAAGTGGTAGTTCGAGTTTAAATTTTTTTTTTGTGGTTGGTTGTATCGTGATCCTGAGTGTGAAAAAACATCCGAAAAAATAAAATAAAAATGACACCGTTGTAACTCCATACAGAAAAACAGGATGGAGGCGGCGGCGCCAGCATGCTGGCGCCCTCCTCCCTGGGGCGGCGCCAGCCATGCTGGCGCCCTCCTCCTGCCACGTCGGTTCACGTGCGCCACGATGGCAGGAGGACGGCGCCAGAGAGGCTGGCGCCGTCCTGTTGGATGACGGCGCCAGCCACTCTGGCGCCCCAAAAAGGACCATTTCTAGGATAAGTTTTTTCAGGGGTCTATTTGCGAAATAAGTTTTTCAAAAGAACCAAAATGTGAAAAATCCAGCCTAAGCCTGCGAGGCTGCGACCGCCTCCTCGAGCAGCATGATGATATTGCTCGGCTCGCTGCCATCGCACGGCTTGTTCCCCTTACCGTTTTCGGCGTGGTTATCGGACCCCACGGTAAAGTGGTTACCTTGATAACCGCAAGATATACCGTGGTTTTAAAAAACTTTATGTATTGTAACCGCGATAACCGTTAAGTAACCGCACTGTTTTGTAAACCGAGGGAACGATAGCCGTACAGCGTGGACGAACGCAAGTATCTGTACAGAAACGCAAACAGAGATCGACGAAGGGAATGCCAAACGCCCAGATCTGGGAGGCTACGACCTGGAGCGCAGATGGTGTTTGTCTCTGAAACAGAGGAGAGGACGAGTCGGCTCAAAGCACCAGAGAGAAAAACTAACCACAGGATGGTGGCACGCTCGTGGTCGTGGGCGCCTGGGCGACGAACGTGCAAGCTGGAGTATGAGAGAGCGAGCCATGAAGGATGGGCAGGCCGCACTCACGGGCACACGGCGAGCTGCAAGCCTGCAATGCCTGCAAGGCTGCAAATCAGAGTCCACGGAGCTACAGCGTGTCGTTAGAGCAAGTTTAATAGTATAGCTTACTGCTAGCTCTAATTCATTATATCCAATCTAATAGGCAATTCATACAATAGTTGCTTACTATATTATTAATATATTGTTCCATCTATCATACACACATTGTGTTTTGGAGTCCGCGCTGTAGCTGGTTACAAATCTGTAGTCCGTTGCTCTTCTCTCTCATATTTTATCTCGTTAAAATATGTTTACAGCTGGCTAATAGATTGCTATTGTATCTGCTCTTATGCATGATCGCCATTGTTCCCAGATAAACAGAGGCATTACCCCCACGGCTCGGGATCTCTACTACACATTTCAGCATAGCAAAGCGCCAAAGCCCATTGGCCCCACCGGCCACCGCGCATAAGCCCTCGCAACAACAGCCAACTTGAAGCAGTGGAGCTCAAAATTCGTTCCGATTCTAGGGGGGATCGAGCAGCGAGCGGACTCCCCTCGCTTACCGCCGCGCTTGGCCGCCGCCGAGGGACGGTGGATCGCGGTGTCGGGGGACTCGGCGTGAGGGGAAGCGGGAGGCGTGGTCCACCTCGTTAGGCCGGTGCCTACTCCCAGCGACGGCACCGCCAGGACGACGCGCCGCCGTGATCTCGGCGGCTCCGGACCTCCGGTTGTCTTCTCGAACCGATATTGGTACGCTTCCTTCTCAAACATCAATCTCCATGCCTCGTTGATGTTTTAATCTGCTACTATTATTGAGTATTACCTCCGTTTCAGGTTATAAGACTTTCTAGCATTGTTCATATTAATATAAATATTAATAAATCTAGGCACATATATATATATATGTTTATATTCCCTAGCACAGTGCCTGTGCGTTGCCACGGGTGAAGTCAATTTTGATTTTACATATATATACTCTGTACATGCACGTTAGTAGATAAGGAATCGAAAGCGATGACATATCAACCGAAAGTGACTCCACTAAATCGAACCTTCTATTGTTGTGCAACGAATTGACACTCACTACACTCATACCTAATTGTTTGTTGTTTTAAATCTACTCGATTTATGATTATAAGAAAGATATTGATACCACCTTAAAATAAAATTGTTTTTTTACTGACTCCTATATTTATGGCTACAATAAATTATTTATTTTTTTAGGTCATGTAATATTGTCCATATCATGTATGCCCGCCGTCCTCCTCGTCATCGTCGTCGTTGCTGTCCTCGTCCTCGTCCTTGTCGTGGGGGGTAGTGGGCTAGGGGTGGCTGGGTCCACCAGCTCCCTTCACCATCGACGCGAGGGAGGGGGAGTTGAATCCGCTGCCCCCATGCTTCTTCATTACCGGATCCGTTGCTGCCGCGCATCCCCACTACCGGATCCGCTCGATTTATGATTATAAGAAAGATATTGATACCACCTTGAAATAAAATTGTTTTTTATTGACTCCTATATTTATGGCTACAATAAGTTATTTATTTTTTTAGGTCATGTAATATTGTCCATATCACGGATGCCCGCCGTCCTCCTCGTCATCATCGTCGTTGTAACCGTCGTCGTTGCTGTCCTCATCCTCATCCTCGTCCTTGTCGTGGGGCGTAGGGGGCTAGGGGTGGCCGGGTCCGCCCGCTCCCATCACTGTCGACGCGCGGGAGGGAGAGTTGAATCCGTTGCCCCCGTGCCTCTTCACCATCGGATCCGCTGTTGCCGCGCATCCCCACCACCGGATCCGCCGCAGTCGGATCCGCGCGGGTGATGGCCGCCGCACCTCCCCACCGTCGGATCCGCCGCCGGACGCCTCACCACCGCCAGATCTGTCGCCGCTGTCGCATCCCTCCTCCGCCCTCTCCCACTGCCCGAGCCCTCCACCGCGTCGGGAGGGGGGAGAGGGGAGAGAAGGAGTGGGGGAGAAGAGGAGGAAGCCATCGTCGTCGCCCTTGCCTACCGCTGGGAGGGAGGAGATGAATGGGGGTGATGGGAAAGAGAGAGGACTGGAGAATAAAAAAAGTGAGAATCTACGGGGGGGTATTTTTGCATGCCGGTGAGTTAAACACCACATTTTCACGTCCATATATTTTAAATGGTCCGTTTGGAAAAAATGATTCTTGCATACAAGTTTCTTAAGAAGCCGTATGGGAAAATGGGATAAATTTTTGTAGGCACAAACACTTATGGCCTGTCTGCAATCTATTCGGGTGGTCATCCAGAAAAATATTTTTTAAGTAGTGAATGGAAAGATGACATGATGAATCCAACCTCATTTTTTCGCTCTTGGCTACACTTAATGCTATGTATTTGTTGGTGAATTAATGTTATATATAAATAAATTAATAAGTTGTAAATGTATAATAAAATTTCCTAAATATAAAGCATGGATGGATTTAATTCTATGCGTGGTTAATTCTGCTCTCTGGAATTTTTCTCGGATTTTTCAAAGCTCAACTACTAATTTTAATAATACAAAGAACGTTTCAGTATTATTTAAATAATAAATTAATCATTAAATGATCTGGTTTTAATGTTGTTATCCAAGTATGTTCAAGAGTTTTCTTGATATTATTTGAGCATTTGAAATAATTTTAACAATTTAAAGATCATTTTATTGGTTAATTTATCTGGAGAAGTAATTAAAAATCCCCTCTCTTTCTTGGGCCTAATCCGTGAAGTCCACTTTAGCATCCTACTTCTTCCTGTTCGGCCTAGTAGCTGCACCGCTAAAAGTTTGTTTCACGTCCTTCCTTCTTTTTTTCTCGGGCTAGGCTTTTTTTCCCCAAAGTCCACATCTCATCCCTGTCGCTACAGTGTTGTCTTCAACCTCTGGCCGGAGACAGAACCCGACCCGGCGCCGCTTTCCACTCCAAATCCGGGCGCCCCTTTCTATTTTTTCCAAAATTGGTTGAGGGGAAATATTTCCCTTATCCTCCTCTTCCGTTTTCCCCAAGAATCGGACCTTATCCCGGAGAAATTAACGCGGAATCGAGCTCGGTTCGAGCTTATCTCTCCAAATAGAACCCTAGTTTTTGTGAACAAAGCTGAAGGCGACGGTGACGGACGAAAAACGTGGGTTAAGGATGTGACGACCGGAAAAATATGAATATTTATATTAGTTATAGATATAGATATATCTCCCATGCTGATTTTATTATTTGTGTGGCCGTGAGTCAACCTATGTGATTTGTATCAGTCTGGATTAGAGTCCGATCGATTTGCTGACATATCGATGCTTCGATCTTTTTTCCGGCTGGTGCGTGCGAACGACTCGTGAGGGAGGATGTGAACACGCGCAGGTATTAGGGGAGAAGTCGGACACTAACACGGACCCGATTCTGATGCGCACGAGGTCTGGATTAGAGTCCGATCGATTTGCTGACATATCGATGCTTCGATCTTTTTTCCGGCTGGTGCGTGCGAACGACTCGTGAGGGAGGATGTGAACACGCGCAGGTATTAGGGGAGAAGTCGGACACTAACACGGACCCGATTCTGATGCGCACGAGGTCTGGATTAGAGTCCGATCGATTTGCTGACATATCGATGCTTCGATCTTTTTTCCGGCTGGTGCGTGCGAACGACTCGTGAGGGAGGATGTGAACACGCGCAGGTATTAGGGGAGAAGTCGGACACTAACACGGACCCGATTCTGATACGCACAAGGTCTGGATTAGAGTCCGATCGATTTGCTGACATATCGATGCTTCGATCTTTTTTCCGGCTGGTGCGTGCGAACGACTCGTGATGGAGGATGTGAACACGCGCAGGTATTAGGGGAGAAGTCGGACACTAACACGGACCTGATTCTGATGCGCACGAGCGGGCGAGAGTGCGCAAGCCGAGTAGGAATCGAAGTCAGATGACGTACGAAACATCTGGCAAAAACATCTTAAACTTTTATAATAGGTAAAGATTAACATATACTTCCTCCATCCCAAAATGTTTGACGCCGTTGACTTTTTTAAAAATGTTTGACCGTTCGTCTTATTCAAAAAGTTTAAGTAATTATTAATTCTTTTCCTATCATTTGATTTATTGTTAAATATACTTTTATGCATATAGTTTTACACATTTCACAAAAGTTTTTAATAAGACGAACGGTCAAATATGTTTAAAAAAGTTAATAGTGTTAAATATTTAGAGAATGAGGGAGTATATGAATGTGATTCCGGTAAAAAAAAATAAATGTGAACAATGCTAGAAAGTCTTATAATATGAAACGGAGGAAGTACTGCGTAAGCAACTGGAAATGGAGTTATGAAATTATTACTGAATGGATCTGTTCATGATTATACAAATTTTTGTCTTTGCCACCTGGCCTTAATTAATCCCTTACAACCATATATTCCTCACAAATAATGATAGTAATATACAACAGGCGTGGGCTATCCATACGTACTGTAACCTAAAATTACACACAGGAAATAAAACAATACAGCATACCCTGTTCAGAACGGAACTACAAAGCATATCAGATATCACTTCACCGTGGTATACCTAATTAGCGTGGCAAACTAATTGAAGATGATAATTCTTGCTCCAGACTGTAGCAACCAGAACCTGGGATTCCTTCAGATGTTAAATCACCAGCATTTGTATAAATATTCTGTGCATAAGAGTTACTAGTATTTGGGCTTAAAAGGTGCTCGATTTCTCCATCATTTCCTGGGAGCAGTTGGAATTTTCTTAGCCTCTTAGTTTTCAGGAACTGCAGCCTCATCTCTACTTCTTTCATAGTAGGTCTATCTACTCCTTTAACTTTCAAGCATGCCATTGTAAGCGAGGCAATTCCATCGATCTCTTCCTTGTTTGCCTCTTCAACAACCTGAGGATCTATTATTTCCATTAGAGAGCCCTCTTGAAGTCCTTCAACGAAGTAATGAGACAAGCTTTGTTTTGCACCTGCCTCATTAATGAAAATTGGTTTCTTTCTTATTAGAAGTTCCACAAGTATCACTCCAAAACTATATACATCACTTTTTTCAGTTAGTTGTCCAGTATGATAATACTCTGGGTCTAGATAACCGAATGTGCCTTGGACAATAGTCACCACATGAGTTTCATCAAGTGAAACAGATCTTGAAGCACCAAAATCAGAGACCTTTGTAGTAAAGCTGCCATCTAAGAGAATATTGGAAGATTTCACGTCTCTATGAAAAATTGGTATTGCAGCAGCTGAATGCAGATAGGAAAGTGCCCCTGCTGCTTCTACAGCAATCCTAATGCGATCATCCCATGACAGCGAGCATCTAACACTAAGATCGGTATGAAGGTGGTCATGCAGTGTGCCATTCGATATGAATTCATAAACCAGCAGTGGCACCTCAGATTCAAGACAACAACCAAAAATCTTTACCACATTGCGGTGGATAATTTGAGATAAGATAACAACCTCGTTGATAAATTGATCTATCTCAGTTTGCTCAACGATTTTTGATTTTTTAATGGCCACCACACGCTGGTCAGATAGAATGCCTTTGTAAACTGTGCCATGTCCTCCACGTCCAAGAACACGAGTTCCATCAAAGTTGTTGGTTGCCTCCTCTAGTTCTTCCAAGGAAAATATCTTCGTTTTGTTTGTGGCGCTTTCATTTGAGATTAGTTGCTCCAAGAGTAGGCCTTGATTTTTCTTGAAATATGCTCTCCGTATTCTCTTTTGGATGCCTTTCCTCCACTTATTGGCAAGTATCATTGCCCCCAACACGATAACTATGGAGCCAAGACCACAACCAATTCCAATTGCAATACCTGCATCAATTCATTTTGTCATAATAAAATCATTTTGCATGTTGGCTATTACTTCTTACGGTCTTACCTAAAAGAAGATTGCGTTGCTTTGCTGATGTAACACACTTCTTTTTGATTGGATCAAACTCTTTTCTATGCGGGCAGCTTGTGCATGTATAATTTCCAAGTAAATTTTGACACGTGCCATTGCAATAGTTTGGCAGTAAGCATTCATTGATGTCTGCAAAAAACTATGATTAGTTTGTCGATTCTCCCAAGTTAAATTGATATAATTCAATTTCTAAACATTTGCAGGCATGAGCATTGCTGGTGCACACTGGAGGAGGTGTGAAGAGGAAATAACCTGTGCAGCCATCCTCGATGTATGGGTTTCCTTCAAAACCGGGAGAACACTTGCAACGATATCCCATGAACTCTTTCCTGTGGGTGACGTTCAGGCAGTAGCTGTGGCTACTGCGGCATGCGTATGTAGTGTTCTTCTGCACAGCTACTTCACAAGTTAAGTTGGTAACTGCCCATCTTATAACAATGGCGTATTCCATAGAGAGATCAAATCTATCTTCCACAGGGCCTGAGAATGAATAATCACGGCCAGTATCTGTGGTCTGAACAATTATCGCCTCTTTCTCGTAGTTTGTGTCATTCATCATGTTTCCGACAGTTAGAGTCCCATCATCCAAAGACACAGCAGTCACATGATATTGTGCTTCTCCTAATTCGCAAACAGTTAGGTTACCTTCTGTACAATTAAGTCTAAACCTTTCGTTAGCAAAACAACCTTCTTCGACTCCAAAAGGGAAAGGAATCTTCATGTCTCCACAGGATGTTGAACAGTGTTCTTTATATTTGGGGTTGTAATCTGTTCCACCATAGAAATTACAATATATAATAAGAATAAGAAGGAGGTTAGTGACAGTGCATTATATTTTGCTTCGTTTTGGGGGTAAAAAGGGGGCAGGCAGGAAGTACGTACCCGTGCATCCATCTAGAAGGTAAGGATTCCCCTGTTCATAACCAGAGCAGTAACAATGATAACCTCCAGATGACACATTCCGGCAATTGCTGCCAGGGCTACACGCATAACTTGTGTTGTTCATGCGCGCGCGTTCACAGCTTGGTTGATCTATGGTAGCAAAAGAAAGTACTGTGCCTTCAACATTACTTGTGTTTGTCCAACCTAAGAAAAGGTCACTTGTGTTTGATATATAATAGTCCGATGACATGAAAGCCATGATTCCAGGGTGCACTGGATCTGTTTGTGCTACAGGAATGCCATCCGACCGAAGAATTATGGTTGACTGAAAGCCCCGCAAGACCCTTGGTAACTCGATGAAACAGCATCCCATCCCATTACAAGGCCCTCCTATTGGTGCCTTTTCACCATCACATCTACTCATGCAAGAACCTATGAGGTCCTCCGTGCCATACTCGAACAAGGTAGCATCGAAATTACAACCGATAACGTAAAATGTGTTGTAATGATCAATAGTAATACCCTCTGTTGGGGCCACCCAGGATATGTTGTAGGTATCCGTACCTGGTCTCACCGTAATGTTGAAGTATATCTGGGCCAAAACATACCTATAACCCAAGTCTGTGATCTCAGTAGTACCATCACCCAGAAAGAGCTTAGGAGTTTTGGCGGTGTTGCGGCAGATGAGCTCGAAGCCTTCCCGGAAACAGCCCGGCGCTATCCCGAAGGGGTAGTCGATGCCAACATCTCCGCAACGAGAGGGGCAATGAGCCAGGGAATCATTAGAAGGGATAGACAAGAGCCCTCCGCCAACTCCGTAGACTGCAGCCGATGCTGGGGACGTAGCAGCCGAGCACAGCAGCACAAAAGAGACGGCGCAAGCTGCCACTAATAAGCTCGAGCTCATCTTTGCGCCGATCGGCTAGCTTGCCTAGCTTTGTGGGTGCAGATATGTATGCTAACTACGCGTGAGATCGATTTTGTATTCAGAGGCAACGTCTGTCGTCTCTTAATTTATACTGATCGTGCGCCTGCAGAGACTTAAGTAAACGCAAGATTAAGAGCGATTCCCCAAGCGCTATATAACATATGGAGACATTGATTGATCAGTATTTCGATCAGCAGCAAACAGTTTTGTTGCAATCTGCCAAGCCTGTATATTGTCCTCGTATATGAACGAATTCCAGGGGCACTAGTCCCATCAGATATCCCTGTCGTTGCTGGAGCCAACGACTCGCCCAACTGCCGGTCGCTGCTCACTGATCCTATACACATCTGATTATTTCCACACGTCCATGGCTATCTGACTATCTACCAGCTGGAAAGAATGGTACTGTCCGGATGCTATTAATCACAACACACAGTAACAAAGCAATACACATGCTACTAGATGACGAAAATAATGGCCTGCGGCGTTGCCAAACTAGAGACTGTAGAAGATTCAATAGTAGATTTTTGTAGGTTCTTTTCTAATGAATCCTTGAAAGGAAGTAACATGTCAAGTCGGTCGATCTACACTGCAGTTAGCAGTACTCTGATGTTTCTACAAACTGGCCAATTCGCCCACCATATTCTTATTGAAATAATTATTCGATAATCTTGTTATGCAAAAACAAAAAATGACAAGTAATGGGGTGGACTGTGGAGTGAAGATACGTACGTGTAGAAATTAAAGGTGATAACCACAGATGGAAGAAATATATATGTGGTTGAGAGATGAAATGAGGCTGTGTTTAGATCCAAAGTTTGGATCCAAACTTCAGTCATTTTCCATCACATCAACCTGTCATACACACACAACTTTTCAGTCACATCATTTTCAATTTAAACCAAAATCCAAACTTCGCGCTGAACTAAACACAACCTGAGTCTAATTTAGGTGTGAGTTTGTTTATTCGTGTATGTCTCAAACTCTTTTAGAGCTGTCAAATTTATTTCTAAGCATTTAAAAGCTCTGCATTAACTTTTGAACTAAGACTTCGAGGGAATGACTACGGCCGGCCGTGTTAGACCAGGTATATGCATGCCCGGGTGTTCACGGTAAGATGACCTCGCAAGTCGAAATCATTTCTACCAACATGTTCTTCGGCGGTGACTACGTACAGCTGACAAGTACGTGACATTTTCCTCCCCGACAAGCTAGCGAGATGATGATTGGAACGACCGGTGCACGTGCGAAACGTTTCTGGTAGATGACTGGGAATATAAATTATTCATACAAGTCAATTCCGATCTGAACGAAGGACAACCCACAAATTATGGAAGTGGTGTAATAAATCTGGATCAACTCTGAATTTATATTGCAATCAGTTCTGCGATCTACACTTATCTATATGATCTACACTTATCTATGTAGTACGATTTATTTTATCTACAATCTGAATGGCCTCGTAATTTCTGGTTCCCAATTTTAAGCCATTTTTGCCCGAAATCGCTAATAAGCGACTAGTCGCGCGTGTGAGCGCGCGCGGCGAGTTCACCCCTACTACTTCTAGCCTAACACTGTTTCTATAAACCCACGGGTCTCTGTTTTTTGGGCTTCTTCGTGTCGTGGGCTTTCCTGAAATGGGCTAATAGCCCTCCCGCGCGCGACACGACAGAGGAGGCGGCGGTCGGCGCGTATGGGCGTACGGTTTCCCTTTTTTTTGTTTTTTTTTCCGTATCTTTTCCGGTTTTATTTTTTTCCTTTTTTTTCTTCCCGTATATTTTTGTGTTTGTCCGTTTTTTAATAGTATATGTATGCTAAACTCTGTGTACGTATAAATACAAACTTTATATGCATGTATACAAACTTTGTATATACGTATGCAAACTTTTATATACGTATATACAAAGTTTGTATGTGTATTTTTTGGTTTTTATACATACGTATACCAACTCTGTATACATGTATATAAAGTTTGTATACACATATATATGTTTGTATACACTTATTTTTTAGGTTTTTTATACGTATACACACAAACTTTATATACATGTGTATATCTTTTTATACATTAAAAGTGCATACATATAAAAAATTATGTATATATACACACGTATGTATAATATATATGCGTATAAACTATATATATACATATGTATATACATATAGTACGTATACATATAGTACGTATAGTAGTATATATAGGATAACAGATCACACTAGAGGGGGGGCAGCTGATCGCGCGCGCGGGGCCTCGCGCGACTGGTCGCGGATCAGCGGCCCCCACTTTTGCCTACGTGCATAAGCAAGTATGGCGTGAATTCTCGATCTTCTTCCCGGCCTGTTAGTTTTTGGGCCTCAAGAAGCCCAACCACGTGCAACGGGAGCCCTCAACTCTGGACCTCAAGTCCAACATCGTCCAGGGCAGCAACATCCATCCCCTCGGCCTCATCGCGGCAGCGCCGCTCGTCGCCCTCCCCTCAGACCTCACCGCCGGTGCGCGGGCCACAGTTCATCGCAAGCAACTAAGCCACAGCCTCGGGAGGGAGTCGGGGGGAAGGGGGCGGCGCCGTCCACCTCAGCTTCCAGCACCTCCTCATGGCGGAGGCACCGGCAGAAGGCCAGGCCGACACGCCGCTGTAGCTCAGCGCCGATTAATTTCCTGTTCGAAATCGGTACGCTCCCTCGTCAAACTGCAATATTATTATTGCTCGATGCAATGGCTGCTTTTGTGTGCGTATATAACAAGCTCTGGTTCGAAACACACTCTGAAGTAGGAGTGGTCATTAGTAAAATTATATTTTGCGACCGGAGGCACGCTGAGGAGATGCCCTAAGAGTGATTAAATTGGGGTTGTTAGCTTAATTAATTAGAGGATATTTGCTGGATTTGTCACCGTATAGGGTCACTATGCTCGTCTTGTAAGCTATTACGAGCAGATTCGTAAATATAATCCCGCAGACTGCAGTTCCCTATGAAAACATTGGGGACTCATGATTTCAACATTTTTTGAGTGAAAATTGGGCTATTGTCATTAAAAGCAACATCTAAAATGACAAATTAATTTCATTAAATTTAGCATCGAGTATATTTTGATAATATGTTTCTTTTGTATTGAAAATACTACACTATTTTTCCATAAACTTAATCAAACTTAAATAAATTTGACTAGAAAAAAAATCAAACAACTTATAATATAAAACGGATGGAGTATATTGCAACTTCTAAGAATGTGGTACTACTATATATTATCCTTGCAAAATCTAAAGCCATTGCAGGGACCAATAAACTCGCCCGCCCATTCTTTCCACAAATCCAGTACCAGATGGAAAGAGTTGCAATGTGCAAATCCTAATCCCTGTACATATTTTTGATCTGTTTTTTCTTCATCTCTATAAATATATGAGGCAAAGCTTTTGCCCTCCTTTCAAAAAAAAAAAGTGCAAATCCTAATCACCATACACTAGCGTGATACAATTGCCACAGTCTTCTAATTCATATAGATGAACAAAAGAAGGCCGGCACCGTTGCCTAAGTAGGATTACTGTAGTACGATAACGCCGCATACACTTTTGTATACTCTTTGCTCTCTACGTACAGTTAGAAGCTCTGCCCTACAAGTTAATTAGCAGTGTGTTTCTTCTATGCAGGAGCAAGCCAACATTGGTGCTCTAATTTATGAGACGGCGGTGGCGCAACATGAGCAAAGAGCGACATGAAAATGACGGACACAATCACGACACAGCGGCACAAGTGCAAAGCCAAACAGAGACCGCGGTGGAGTTGCAGGGTGTTTGCCGACAGAGGCCCAGTGTCAGAGAGGTGTCGAGGTGTGGGGGCGAAGGGGAGGCCTGGTCCGCCCCGGCAGTAGGGCTCCTCCTCTTCCCCGGCGCGATCAGAAGGCTGGTGCCTCCCCCAAGCGCGGAGGCCGGCAGGCCGCCGCTCCCGGTTGTCTCGTCTGTTCGAACCGAATCTGGTGCGCTCCCTTGTCAAACGGCAATCTCCACTGTTTTGCTTGGTGTGTTTGTGGTTGTGTGCATAATCTAGGTTGGAGTTCTTTTTTTTAGTCTAATTGTACTGGTATGGTTAACTCCATACTCAAATTATCACCACTGGTAAACTAAACTGTCTTTTGCAAAGCTACAGAATTTGGAGCCATAGACAATAGCATTTCTGTTTGCAGCATAGGTACTTACTACTACTTGTGGTCCGGTTTGCTGGGATAGAGATTTTTTTTTTTAGAGAAGGGGAAATTCGCTCCATAGGAGATTTGAACTCAGGACCTTGGGGTACTACTCAGGTCACTGTAACCACTAGGCTACATGCCCTTTCGTTGCTGGGATAGAAATGGTGATGGGGTGTGGAGTGTGGACTGATTCTAACCCTTCACTTTTTTCCCCTGATCCTCAATCAAACCATAAATTAGATTTCCTCTATATATCCCTATTCCTGTGACCTTATCCCACCAAATCCAAACAATTTTACAGTTCCCATTATGAATGCAGGGTTTTTGGACAAGTGATGAAATAAAAAATTTGAACCGTGCCATTTATACTTTGTGTAAAGGCATTCGGAACGTTCTCTGAGTTCCAAGTTTTGACTTCCGACTAGCTCTATAATGGCTGTGTTTAGATCCAGACTTCCAACTTTTTCCATCACATCAACCTATCATACACACAACTTTTCAGTCACATCGTACCAATTTCAACCCAAACTTCCAACTTTGGAAGGAACTAAACACAGCCAATACTCCGTATTAACGATGTCACTGCTATGTGGAAAAAAAGATCCAGCATCTACAAACTGAGTTATCAGTCAGATACCTATTGGTGACCCTTACTGAGCAAGACATTGGCAATGGAGTAATAAAATTATTACTGAACTTGTTCACTTTGCCACTGTAGCTTAAATACAATATTACAATACCATGTCATTCCTTACAAGGATATTGATCACAAATAATTATAGTAGAATACAACTGTCATTCTATCAACTCACATGGGCTATGCATACATGCTGCAAGTATACAGGAAGTGAAGCATGCAAAAACCATTCTCTGGAGTGAACTACGTAACATAACACTTCGTAGAAAATATGTGATAACTCAACACTCCATGTTACATATATAGCTAGCGTGGCAAACTGACTGAGGATGATAATTCTTGCTCCAAACTGTAGCAACTGGAGATCCCTTCATATGATAAATCACCTGCACTGGTATAGTTGTTCTGTGCTTGGGATTTACCAGCATTTGGGCTTAAAAGGTGCTGAATCTCTCCACCACTTCCTGGGACTGGGAGAAATTGGAATTTTCTTAGCCTCTTAGTTCTCAGGAATTGCAGCCTCATCTCTACTTCTTTCATAGTAGGTCTATCTCCTCCTCTGAGTTTCAAGCATGCCTCTGTAAGTGAGGCAATATCATCAATGTCTTCCCTGTGAGCCTCTTCAAGAACCTGATAATCTATTATTTCGATAAGAGATCCCTCACGGAGTCTGTCAACGAAATAATGAGACAAACTTTGTTTTGTGCCTACATCGTTGATGAAAATTGGTTTCTTTCTTGTCAAAAGTTCCACCAGAATCACTCCAAAACTATATACATCACTCTTTTCAGTTAGTTGTCCAGTATGGTAATACTCTGGGTCTAAATAACCAAATGTGCCTTGGACAATAGTCACCACATGAGTCTCATCGAGTGAAACAGATCTTGAAGCACCAAAGTCAGAGACCTTTGTAGTAAAGCTGCCATCCAAGAGTATATTGGAAGATTTCACATCTCGATGGAAAATAGGTATTGCAGCAGCCGAATGCAGATAAGCAAGTGCCCCTGCTGCTTCTGAAGCAATCCTAATTCGATCATCCCATGATAATGAGGATTTAACACTAACATCAGTATGAAGACGATCATGCAATGTACCATTTGGTATGAACTCATATACCAGTAAGGGCACCTCAGATTCGAGACAGCAACCAAAAAGCTTCACCACATTGCGATGGATAATTTGAGATAAAATAGCAACCTCATTGATAAACTGATCTATCTCAGTTTGTTCCACAATTTTTGATTTTTTAATGGCCACCACACTCTGGTCAGATAGAATCCCTTTATAAACTGTGCCATGTCCTCCACGACCAAGAACACGAGTAGCATCAAAGTTGTTGGTTGCCTCTTCTAGTTCCTCCAAGGAAAATATCCTTGTTTAATTTGTGGCGCTTTCATCTGAGATTAGCTGTTCCAAGAGTAGGCCCTGATTTTTCTTGAAGTATGCTCTTCTAATTCTCTTTTGGATGCTTTTCTTCCACTTATTGGCTAGAATAATTGCACCTAATGCAATAATTATGGAACCAATGCCACAAGTAATACCAGTTGTAATACCTACAGCCATTCATTAATTTTCTGCCGTGAAGCCACTTTGCATTATCTTAAGGCAATAAGATTGACTAATCTGTCAGCTATGACTTACCTATAATAAGATTGTGTTGCTTAGCTGATGCAACACACTGTCTTGTAATTGGATTAAACTCTTTTCTGTGGGGGCAACTAGTGCATGTAAAACCTCCAGGAAAATTTTGGCATGTCCCATTGCAGTAGTTTGGCAGTGAGCATTCATCAATATCTGCAATTAACTCTTCAGTTTTTTTTGTTTTTATTGGTACAACGTATAGACATAGGCTAGGCACTAGTACAGCCTTGTTCGGTTAGAGAGGGATTGGAGGGGATTAATTCCAATCCCGCTTGATCCCCTTGTAGATGGGATTAACCGAACAAGGCTAAAGGGGAAATGCCATGGTTAAACTATCCACATAAAACTTCTCTAAAATTCTTAAACAATTGCAAATAGGAGGGGAATGAACAGGAACAAACCTTTACATCCATCTCGGATATATGGATTTCCTTGAAAACCAGGAAGACACTTGCAACGATATCCCATGAATATGTTTGCGTGGGTGACGTTTAGGCAATCGCTATGGATACTGCGTTATGCATATGTAGCATTCTTTTTTATATCGGTATCACAAGTTAAATTGGCTACGGCCCACTTTATAACAATGTTGTATTCTAAAGAGAAGTCAAATCGATCTTCAACAGGACCATAAATCACTGTATCACCATATTGGTCACCTTGAGTTATTAGTATCTCTCTCCCATATTCCGTATTATTCAACAAATTACTTATAGTCAGAGTCCCATCTTCAACAGACACATTAGTCACAATAAATTGTGCTTCACTTGTTTCCAAAACTGTGATATGATCTGATGTACAGTACAATTAAGCCGAAACCTTTTGTTTGCAAAACAACCTTCTTCCAGACCAAAAGGGAAGGGAATGATCATGGTTCCGCATGATGTCGGACAGTGTTCTTTATGCTTGGGGTTGTAATCTGTCCCACAAAGAGAGTGACAAGGGATGAAAGTTAGATATATATCGATATATGTGTCTTATTTTGCAGGAAATTAAAGGTGGTAGGAAGTACCTTGCATGTTGCATCCTCCCAAAATGTAAGGATTGCCTTGTAGATAACGATTGGTGCACTCACAGGTGTAACCTCCCGATGATATATTTTGGCAATTGCTGCCGGTGGTACAAGCATAACTTGATTTGTTTACCAGTGCACTTCCACAGCTTGGTTGGTCCGTGATGGCAAACTGAAGCTCGGCTCCCTCAACGTTGCTCACATTCGTCCAACTCAAGAAAAGATCACTCGCATTACGTACGTAATAATCCGTATATGACATGAAAGCCATGATCCCATGATGCAGCGGATCTGATATTTGTGCTGCAGCTTCAGCTTGAACAAGTGTTGACTGAAATCCCCGCATGTCCCTTGATAACTTGATGGAGCAACATCCGTTCCCATTACAAGGCTGTCCTATTGCTATTGGTGCCTTCTCAATGTCACATCTACTCATACAAGAACCAACGAAATCTCCCGTACCAAACTCGAACAAGGTGGCATCAAAATTACAACAGACAACATAGAAAGTGTTCTCATCTGAAATTTTAATACCCTTAGCTGGCGACACCCATGAAATGTTGTAGGTGTCCATACCTTGCCTTGTCGTAAAATTGAAGTACATAGGAGCCAAAGCCATGTCATATTCCATTGCTGTTATCTGGGTTGTACTATTGGCAACAAGGAGCTTGGGAGTTTTGGTGGCGGTGTTGCAGGTAAGCTCGAAGCCGTCCCGAAAGCAGCCTCCCCCAATCCCGAAGGGGTAGGAGATGCCATCGACTTCCCCGCAGCTAGAGGGGCAGTGAGCGAGGGAGTCATTAGAAGGGACAATCAAGAGCCCTCCACCAACTCCATAGACTGAAGCCAATACTCGTGGCGTAGCTGCCGAGCACACCAGCACAAAAGAAGTGGCACAAACTGCCAGAAAGCTCGAGCTCATCTTTGCGCCAGCCGGCTTGCCCTTCCTGGTGTACGTAGGCCGGTGCCTGTTAACTACCGATCAATTTATATTCAGAGGCAGCCATCTCTTTGTGCTCACGCTTTCGTGGACTTTATAAGTATAGATGCCAGATTAATACCAGCCACTCCCCAAGCGCTATGTATAAAACATATATGGAGGAATTGATTGGCTTATACTCGATCGGCAGAAAACAATTTTATCGCAATAATTTGCCATTGATCGACGAAGTCCAGGGGCACTAGTCGCATCAGATATCCCGGTCGTTGCTGGAGCCAACGACTCGTCCAACTGCCGGTCGCTGCTCGCTTCTACGTCCGATTTTCTCCTCGCGTCCAGTAGCTATCTTCCAATTGGAAAGATTGGTACTGCCCAGGAAGGCTAATTAATAATCATATATATACTCCATCTGTACTAAAATATACTATCTCCTTCCTTAAATGTTCGACACCATTGACTTTTTTAAACATGTTTGACCGTTTGTCTTCTTTAAAAACTTTTGTGAAATGTGTAAAACTATATGTATACATAAAAGTATATTTAACAATAAATCAAATAATAGGAAAAAAATTAATAATTACTTAATTTTTTTAATAAGATGAACGGTCAAACATTTTTAAAAAAGTCAACGGCGTCAAACATTTTTTTGATAGAGGGAGTAAGAGATTTTAATCGGATAAGGTATATCTTAGCTAGTACTCATACAGATGCTACCATCTTACTTCATTACAGATGACGAAAATAATTGCCGGCATTGTGAAACTAGAGAGGAAAAAAATATGAATTACCCCCTGAACTATTGCACTCGACCAAATTACCCACCCACCCACCCCCCCCCCCCCCAACCCGAAAACCAGACATTCGATCTTTCAATACCGCTCGAATTACCCCCACGACCCAATCTAGAGCGATTTTGACATACGTGACATACGCGTGGCATTCCAGTCAGTATTTTATTTATTTAAAAATATGGGACCCACCTGTCATACCTCCTCTTCCCCTCTTCCTCTCTCTCTCTTGCGCGCATGGCATGCACGGCGGCGCGAGGACAGGCGATGGGTGGGGACGAGGGAGTGGATGGGAGGGGGGAGGGGGAGTGGAGGTGGATGGGAAACGGGAGGAGATGGAGGTGGAAGGGGAGGTCAGCGCGCACGGCGGCGTCACCGGGATCCGCCATTGATGGGGTGGAAGGGGAGGGAGATCGGAGGGGAAGACGAGGTGGCCCCCGCCTCTGGCCGCCACCCGCCTCTCCGCCACGACCCTTCCTCACCACCGCCTCTGACCACCGTGCGCCTCTTCGCCACGGCCCTCACCGTGCACGCCGACCTCCCCTTCCACCTCCATCTCCACGCTGCTTCTGCCACTGTCCCGTAGCGCTCACCGCCAGCCGGAGCCACCCAGCTCAGGCCTCCACCTCCGCGTCTCGTGCCGCAGCCCACCTCCTGCCCCTGCGCGCCGCCTCGTGAGAGCGAGAGAGAGTGTGAAGAGAGAGAGAGGAAGAGGGGAAAATGATGTATGACATGTGGGTCCCACCATTTTTTAAAAAAAATGTTGATGGGATTGTCATGCGTACACCACGTAGGACAAAACCGCTCTGGAATGGGTTGAGGGTGTTAATTCGTCCGGTATTAAAGGTTTAGGGTAAGCAATGTCTGGCGGGTTCAGAGGGGTAATTCGATCGACCGCGATAGTTCAGGGATAATTCATCTTTTTTTCCAACTAGAGATTGTCCTACAAGACATGCCTATAGACTTTTGCACAGGCTCTTCTGATATCTTCCAAGTACTTCATCCGTTTTATATTATAAGACTTTCTAGCATTGCCCATATTCATATATATGTTAATGAATATTTCATATTATAAGAATTTCTAGCATTGCCCACATTCATATACTTCCTCCGTTTCACAATGTAAGTCATTCTAGCATTTCCCACATTCATATTGATGTTAATGAATCTAGACATATATATCTATCTAGATTCATTAACATCAATATGTATATAGAAAATGCTAGAATGACTTACATTGTGAAACGGAGGAAGTATATGTTAATGAATCTAGACATATATGTGTCTAGATTCAATAATATCTATATAAATATGAGCAATGTTTGAAAGTCTTATAATATAAAAAGAAGGGAGCATAATTCTTGAAAGAAAGCAACATGTTGAATCATTCTACACTTACTTAGCGCTCCTTTGCTTCTACCCAACTTTCCAATTCTCCCACTATATTCTTACTTAATTAGACTTTTCGCAATTCTTAATATGCAAAACAGGGACAAGTATGGTGTGGAATGAAAATAAGGCAACGTAGAAATTCAAGGTGATTGCCCCAGATAAAATTAATATATATGTGGCTGAGATGAAATGGGTCTAATCTAGGTGTGAACATGTTCAGAGTCTGGTTCTTCACGTGCATGTCTCGTTCTTTTAGGGCTGTCAAATTTATTTTTAAGCATACTTGTATATAGTTACTATTTCATCCACCAATATGGGGCTACTATTTCGACGTAACCAACTGGAATGTGCAGACAGAGATTTCATAGCTAAGCAAGTCCACGTAGATCGAAAGCATAAGCATATTTTTAGCTGAAAACCTTCAGGAGCTCTGCGTTAACTTTTGACTATGGTGGTGTTTAAATCTCCCAAAAATGGAGATGAGATAAAAATTAAGTGTTTCACGTAAAATGATGTGGTAATAATGTGTCTTTTAAAAAAAAGTGATAATAATGTGTGATTAATTGAGTTTTAATTTTTATAAACTTGAAAAATAATCTTATATTTTAAAATAACTTTCATATAGAAAGTTTTCACACAAAACATACCGTTTAGCAATTTAAAAAACGTACCATTTTTATCTAAAAGTTTATACAGTTTTTTTGAGAAAAGAACAGGACATAGATGCACGGCTCCACGCCGCCCGCAGCATGGCTTAAACAAAACAACGTTAAACACATGTTGGTCACTATTAACCAAATCTTCCTATCTAGCTTATTTTAGGTTATTATATCTACACATATCATAAATTAAAGCAACTGAAATGTACTGGAGTAGAAAGAGATTAGAAGCGGCCCTGTTTGGATCAGGGACTAAAACCCCTATCACATCGAATGTTTAAATACTAATTAGAAATATTAAACGTATACTAATGACAAAACCCATTCCATAACTTTAGACTAATTCGTTCGACGAATCTAAATTAATACTCCCTCCGGTTCCATATTAATTGACGTTTTGGACAAGGCTGAGGTCAAACTTTTATAACTTTGACCATTAATAACTTTAAAAATATTTAGTTTAAAGGAACTAGAACAACATATATAGATTTGTCTTTTAAAGTACTATAATAAAAGTAAACATGTATTTATTTATTATATATATTATAATAGAAAAATAAGGTCAAAGATATATCTTGTAGACCGTGTCATTGTCCAAAACGTCAATTAAAATGAAACCGGAGGGAGTATATGATTAGGCTATGTGATGCTAGAGTAAACATGTGCTAATTATGAATTAATTAGGCTTAAAAATTTATCTCACGAATTAGCTCTCATTTATGAAATTAATTTTATAATTAGTCTATGTTTAATACTCTAAATTAGCGTACACGTATCCGATGTGATATGAGTATCCGATGTGATAGGAATAAAGTTTAGTCATGGATCCGAACACCACCGCGTAGCTGAGTCAGTCCACATAAATCGAAATTAAAGCATGCACCTCTCGACCAGCTGGAATGACAGGAGAAACTTTTTTAGCCTAAAACATTTAGAAGCTCTGCATTAACTTTTGAATTAGGACTTCGAGGGAATGACTACGGCCGGCCGTGTTAGACCAGGTATATGCCCTGGTGTTCACGGTAAGATGACCTCGCAAGTCGCAATCATTTCTACCAACACGTTCTTCGGCACTCGGCAGTGACGACTACAGTTGACAAGTACTACGTGACAGTTTCCTCTCCGACAAGCTAGCGATCTGAACGAAGGACAACCCACAAATTATGGAAGTGGTGTAAATCTTGATCAACTCTGAATTTATATTGCAATCTAGTTCTGCGGTCTGCACTTCTCTATACAGTACTATTGTGAATACTTTTGCATTGGCGTGAATTCTCGATCTTTTTTCCCCGGCCTGTTAGAGTTTCTGGGCCTCAAGAAGCCCAACCACGCGCAACGGGAGCCCTCAACTCTTGACCTCAAGTCCAACATCGTCCGGGGGCAGCACATCCATTCCCTCGGCCTCGTAGCGGCAGCGCCGCTCGTCGCCTTCCCCCTCACCGCCAGCGCGCCGCAGTTCGAGAAAATAGACATTTAGCCACTTTCAAAAAGCGGTTTCGCTGGAATGCCATTCTGAAAATGCGTTTCGCTAAAATGCCAATACGAAGCGTGTACTCACCGCCACTTTGCCATTTTTACCATTTTGTGTATTTTCAATTGTATTTTCGGCTTGATGGTACCAAATTGCCCCTTGCTAGCTAGCTGAAAGGGATCGATCCAGTTCATGGGAGAAAGAGGACGAGCGTGGCGAGGTGGTCCATGACGGCGGCAGCGGCGGGCTTTGTCGCCCGCGTGTAGAGGAAGGTCCAGGGCTCCGGCGACTGGGATGACATGCTCGCCGCTGCACCCGTTGCTCCGCGGAGAGGTGGCGCGGTACGGCGAGCTCGTCGGTGCATGCTACGCGGCATTGGAGGACCCTTCGTCGCCGAGGTACATGAACTGCAAGTACGGCAAGCTCCGGATGCTGGAGGACGCCGGTGCCGGGTACGAGGTGACGAGGTACATCTACTCGTCGCCGGACGCCGCTGTGCCGGGCATGGAGGTGTCGACCAGCGGCCGCGCCAGCTGGGCCGGGTACGTCGCTGTGTCCACCGACGAGACGACGCGGCGGCTCGGGCGGTGCGACGTGCTTGTCTCATTCCGTGGCACCGTCACCCCCGCCGAGTGGATGGCCAACCACAGGAGCTCCCTCGTGCTGGCGCGCCTCGCCCCACGCCGCGGCGACGGCGGCGGCGGCTACGTGAAGGTCGAGTCGGGGTTGCTCAACATCTACACCTCCGCCGACGAGACATGCCGCTTCGGCTGCACCGACAGCTGCCGCAACCAGCTCCTTCGCGAGGTGTCCCGACTCGTCGCCTCCCGCTCCGGTGGTGAGGACGTGAGCGTCACGCTCGCCAACCACAGCATGGGCGGCGCGCTTGCGCTGCTCCTGGCATACGACCTCGCCGTCGCCAGCGTCTCGGCGGCGACGCCGCCGCCGCCCGGTCACCGTCTTCTCCTACGGCGGGCCGAGGATGGGCAACGCGGCGTTCAAGGCGCGGTGCAACGAGCTCGGCGTGAAGGTCCTCCGCATGGCAAAGGGGAAGGCGGCGGCTGTGGAGGAGGAGGTGAACGGGTTTTTTGTGGAGGAGGAGGGGACGGCGGTGTCGGACGTGTCGTTGATCGGGGTGGCATCGTCGGACAGCTCGACGGGAGAACTCGTCGTTGGAGAAGGAGGGGCATTCTCGTCTCTTCAAGCCGCTTTGCAGAGAAAATAATATCCAAAATAGTAAAAATGGAGAAAATGGCAAAGTGGCTGTGATGGCGCGCTCTATATTTGCATTTTAGCGAAACACGTTTTCGGAATAGCATTTCAGCGAAACCATGTTTTCAAAGTGGCAAAATGTCCATTTTCTCCTGCAGTTCGCCGCAAGCAGCTAGCCACAGCCTCGGGAGGGAGTGGGGGGGGGGGGGGGGAAGGGGGGCGGCGCCGTCCACTTCAGCTTCCAGCACCTCCTCATGGCAGAGGCACCGGTAGAAGGCCATGCCGACACGCCACTGTAGCTCAAGGCCGATTAATTTCCTGTTCGAAATTGGTACGCTCCCTTGTCAAACTGCAATATTATTATTGATCGATGCAATGGCTGCTTTTGTGTGCGTATATAACAAGCTCTGGTTCGAAACACACTCTGAAGTAGGAGTAGTCATTAGTAAAATTATATTTTGCGACTGGAGGCACGCTGAGGAGATGCCCTAAGAGTGATTAAATTGGGGTTGCTAGCTTAATTAATTAGAGGATATTTGCTGGATTTGTCACCGTATAGGGTCACTATGCTCGTCTTGTTAAGCTATTACGAGCAGATTCGTAAATATAGTCCCGCAGACTGCAGTTCCCCATGAAAACATTGGGAACTCATGATTTCAACATTTTCTGAGTGAAAATTGGGCTCTTGTCATTAAAAGAAACATCTAAAATAACAAATTAATTTCATTAAATCTAGCATTGAGTATATTTTGATAATATGTTTCTTTTGTATTGAAAATACTACAATATTTTTCTACTATAAACTTAATCAAACTTAAATAAGTTTGACTAGAAAAAAGTCAAACAACTTATAATATAAAACGGATGGAGTATATTGCAACTATTAAGAATGTGGTACTACTATATATTATCCTTGCAAAATCTACGTCCGTTGCAGAGGCCAATTAACTCGCCGATTCTTTCCACAAATCCAGTATCAGCTGGAAAGAAAGAGTGGCAAGGTGCAAATTGTTACCAACCCTGTCAAGACCAGGCCGAAGAGCTCAAGATAGCGACGGCCCAACACTCGTATAATTGGGCCGGACTGGGTTGCGTAAGAGAGTGGCTAGCCTGTGTATATAAAGGCCTAACCTTATGGGAATCGGTATCGAAAAACATTGTACTGAAACCTCTCTATAATTCAAATCCCATCATCCTCCTCCTAATCCTTTGTTCTTTCTATCCTGAACTCTTCCATTCTTCCTGTCTCCCTCTCTCGCTCTTGCTCACCAACTGTTCGACAGAAATCCCAGGAAGAGTTCGTAACAAATTTGGTATCAGAGCAGTCGAATCTGGATTATCTAGAGAAGCCACGGTATCATTCGCGAGCGCAACTCAAGGCGAACGAGATGGAGCAGCAACTTGGCGAGCTGATGACTACGATGACTTCAATTCAGAAGCAGAACGAGGCTATCATGATTTCGGTGGAATCCATCGAGGAAATCAAGCCGATGGTTGTGGAGCTAGCGGGATGGAAGCCGACGGTAGAGAAGGTGGTGGCGGAATTGCGGGACGAGGTGGGCGACATCCGCGCTCAGCTCGAGAAGATGGTGAAGCAGCCCGCGCCGTCCCCAAATCAAGTCAAGTCGGAGTCCGTCAAGCCGGATCCCGTCAAGCCGGAGGAAATGGCTCCACGTCTTCCGACGCCGCCTGGGGCAAAGCGGCTGCCGAAGAGGACGGTGGAAAACCGACCTTCCACGTCGGCGTTCGGCAAAGGAGCGCCTAGGCAATTTTGCCACCACGAGGCTTCGAATCACCGGGGGAAGGCTGTGTGGGGAAACAACTCCCCACGAACTCCCCCGGTCAAGGGTGCGTATAACTCTACTTCCCCTTTCCATTCAGTTCCTGAGTCGAGTGGGGGATGCCGTGGGTTTAGTTTTGGGGGTCAAATTTCTGCATCTAGAGTAGAGTGCCCAGAGTTTGCAGGGGAAAATCCTAAGGCCTGGAAACTGAAGTGTGAGACTTATTTTGGGCTGTGTGGAACTCCTTCTGATCACTGGATTGGTGTGGCGATACTCCAGTTCTCGGGTACTGCATTGACTTGGTTGCAGTCGACCCGAGCTCATGAAGTTAGTGGGAGTTGGGAGGAATTCGCTGCCTGGGTGTGTGGGAAATTTGGTAGAGAGGAGTTCCAAAGTTTGATTCGACAGTTCAATAGGTTAAGGCAAACTAGCACTGTGTGGGCATATGCAGAAAAGTTCAACGAGTTGATGCATGGGTTACATGCGCATCATCCCTCGTGGAATTCGGTTTTCTTTGTTACTCAGTTCATGGATGGGTTGAAGGCAGAAGTGAGATCTGCTGTTGTTTTACATTGCCCAACCGATTTGGATACTGCCGTGGAATTAGCTTGTTTGCAAGAGGAAGTACTGGAACAGAATCGCAAGGAGGGGCGTCGCTTTGAGCCGACTGGGGGAGCCCGAGGACCCTTGCACACTGGTGTTGGACCTTTTGTGCCAAAGGGAGATGATAAGCTAACTACTGAAGTTTCTGCTACTGATAAAGTTGCAGCTCTCAGGGCTTTCCATCGAGCGAAGGGGCTTTGTCACACTTGCGGGGAAAAGTGGAGTCGTGATCATCGTTGTGGCCCTACTGTGCAGCTGCATGTGATTGAAGAAGTGCTACAGCTTTTTTCTGATGAGGTTCCTGAGGAAGTGGAGTCATCTACTAGCCCCCTGCTGAATCAGATGATGGTGAGTTATTGGCCATTTCTCGAGAAGCTGTACTTGGTATTGAGTCTTCTCGTATGGTGCGTTTGTAAGGATTGATCCAACGACATGAGGTCTTGATGTTGGTTAATTCAGGAAGCTCTCACAGCTTTATCAGTGAGAAGTTAGCTAATAAACTGCAGGGTGTGCGCAGCTCGCTGACTCCTCTGAAGGTGAAAATCGCGGATGGTGGTATCTTGCAATGTTGTCAGGAGTTTCCTAATTGTCATTGGTGGGTACAAGGGGAGTCCTTCAGCACTAATCTTAAGGTGTTACCGTTGGGCTGTTATGAGGTCATTCTGGGCATGGATTGGTTAGAGAAACACAGTCCAATGCAAATTGATTGGAAGCTTAAGACCATACAATTTGTGTTGGACAGCAGGCAGGTTCTGTTACAGGGTGTGGTGCCGGATGTTAGCTGTTGCCCGGTTATTTCGGCTGATCAACTTAAGGGTCTCTTCCATCATAATGCAGTCCTACACACAGTTGAACTTTGTGCCAGTGAAGCTGTTGCAATCAGTCTTGTTCTGCCAAGAGAAGTGGAGGGATTGCTTCAGGAATTTGCCAAGGTTTTTGATGAACCCTCTGGCTTGCCACCACCAAGAGCTTTTGACCACTCTATTCCCTTGCTGCCTGGAGCCCAACCAGTAAATTTGAGACCGTATCGTTACAGTCCGGCACAAAAGGATGAGATTGAACGACAGGTTGCTGACATGCTCAAACAAGGAGTGATACAACGCAGTGCCAGTCCTTTCTCCTCTCCCGTGTTGCTTGTGCAGAAGAAGGATGGTACTTGGCGATTTTGCATTGATTATAGACATCTTAATGCTATCACTGTTAAGAATCGGTACCCTCTGCCTATTATAGATGAGTTACTTGATGAGTTGGCACGAGCTTGTTGGTTTACGAGTTTGGATTTGCGAGCCGGTTATCACCAGATTCGTATGAAGCCAGAAGACGAACATAAAACCGCTTTCAAGACACATAATGGCCATTACGAGTTCCGGGTTATGTCTTACGGATTGACCGGCGCACCAGCAACGTTTCAAGGTATAATGAATACAATCTTTGAGCCATTCTTGCGTAAAGGTGTGTTAGTCTTCATTGATGACATTTTGATCTATACTCGGACTTTGGAGGAACATGTGCGCTTGTTAAGGGCTGTATTTGATATTCTCTCTGCCAATCAGTTGCAAGTTAAGAGATCTAAGTGTGTGTTTGCTCGGTCATCTCTCACTTATTTGGGACATGTCATCAGTGCTGAAGGGGTGTCAACCGATGCTAAGAACATTCAGGCAGTACTGCAGTGGCCGGTGCCTTCTAATGTCAAGGAGGTCAGAGGATTTCTTGGGTTAGCGGGGTATTACCGCAAATTTGTTCGCCATTTTGGGATTCTGAGTCGCCCCCTGACTAATTTTCTCAAGAAGAATGTTATTTTCCATTGGACTGCTGAAACTCAAGCTTCTTTTGATGCCCTAAAGACTGCCTTGACTTCAGCTCCAGTTCTCGCATTGCCGGATTTCTCAAAGACATTTGAAATTGAGACAGATGCTTCAGCTGTGGGTGTTGGTGCTGTACTTATGCAGGAGGGACATCCTTTGGCATTTTTAAGCAAAGCGCTTGGTCCTCGCAATCGTGGCTTGTCGACTTATGAGAAGGAATGCTTGGCGATTCTCCTAGCAATTGATCATTGGCGCTCGTATCTGCAGGGTGCTGAGTTTGTGATTCGAACTGATCAACGTAGTCTCATTCATCTCGGAGATCAAAAATTAGCCACACCTTGGCAGCAAAAAGCCTTAACCAAGTTGATGGGACTGCAGTATCGTTTGGTTTACAAGAAAGGTAGTGAGAACAGCGCCGCTGATGCGTTGTCCCGACGAGTGGCCGATGATTCAACAGAAGTATTGTCTCTTTCAGTTTGTATTCCAGCTTGGCTTGAGGAAGTTCAAAAGGGGTATGATCAAGATCCTCATTCTTCTCAGCTGGTGGCTCAACTGACACTCAAATCTGACGCATTACCTCATTTTTCCTTGGAATCTGGTATTTTGCGCTATAAGGGGTGAGTTTGGATTGGTGCTAACCCGCACGTGCAGTCTCAAATCTTACAATCTTTACATGTTGGGGCAGTGGGTGGACATTCAGGGGTACAGGTTACCTACTCCCGTGTCAAGCGTTTGTTTGCTTGGACAGGGCTCAGGAAAGCAGTAAAGACATATGTGGCCAATTGCACTGTTTGTCAACAAGCGAAAACAGAACGGGTTCGCTACCCTGGCCTTTTGCAGTCGCTTCCTGTTCCGGATCATGCATGGCAAATGGTATCCTTGGATTTTATTGAAGGTCTGCCGACTTCCTCGGGTTTTGATTGCATTATGGTGGTCGTTGATAAGTTCTCTAAATATGCCCATTTTGTGCCTTTAGCTCATCCATTCTCAGCTTTTGATGTGGCACAAGCTTATCTCTCTAACATTTATAAGCTCCATGGACTGCCTCAGTCTTTGATCTCAGATCATGACCGGATCTTTACAAGCACTCTATGGACCACTTTGTTTAAATTGGCAGACACTCAGCTGTGTATGAGTACGGCCTATCATCCTCAGACTGACGGGCAGACTGTACGCGTCAATCAGTGTTTGGAAACATTCTTGCGGTGCTTTGTGCATGCTTGCCCTAAGAAATGGTCTCAATGGTTGGCTCTTGCGGAATTTTGGTATAACACCTCTCTGCACTCAGCTTTGGGAACTTCTCCTTTTGAGGTATTGTATGGCCATCCTCCTCGGCACTTTGGTATTGTTGATATCGCAGCCTGTGCAGTGCCGGATTTGCAAGAATGGTTGAAGGAATGCACTGTTATTACTTCGTTGTTGCATCAACATCTCCACCGCGCTCGCCAGCGCATGAAACATCAAGCAGACAAGAAGCGTTTGGAGCGGCAGTTTGCTGTCGGAGACTGGGTGTTTATGAAAGTGCAACCTCATGCGCAATCCTCGGTGGCGGTGCGAGTTAATCAGAAGTTGGCCTTTCGATTTTTTGGTCCCTTTCAGGTGACTGCTCGGGTGGGGGCGGTGGCTTATCGGTTGGCGCTGCCTGCTTCTTCTATGATTCACCCGGTGGTGCATGTGTCCCAACTTCGGAAGGCATCGGAACCAGCTTCTTCTACGGTAGCTACCCTACCTCCAGCGGTGGAAGAAGCAGATCCTGTTCCAGTGCGAGTGCTAGCACGCAGACTGATACGTCGGGGATCAGCGGCTGTTGATCAAGTCAAGGTTTGCTGGTCGGGCTGTCCAACATCGGAGGCAACCTGGGAAGATCTGGAGCGGCTCAAGGAGCGTTACCCTGCTGCTCCGGCTTGGGGACAAGCCGGATGTGAAGGAGGGGAGGATGTTACCAACCCTGTCAAGACCAGGCCGAAGAGCTCAAGACAGCGACAGCCCAACACTCGTATAATTGGGCCAGACTGGGTTGCGTAAGAGAGTGGCTAGCATGTGTATATAAAGGCCTAGCCTTATGGGAATCGGTATCGAAAAACATTGTACTGAAACCTCTCTATAATTCAAATCCCATCCTCCTCCTAATCCTTTGTTCTTTATGTCCTGAACTCTTCTATTCTTCCTGTCTCCCTCTCTCGCTCTTGCTCACCAATTGTTCGACAGAAATCCCAGGAAGAGTTCGTAACACAAATCCTAATCACGATACACTAGCGTTATACAATTACCACAATCTCCTACTAATTCATACAGATGAACAAAAGAAGGCCGACGCCGTTTGCCAAACTAGAATTACTTTAGTACGATAAAGCCACATACGCTTTTGTATACTCTTGCTTTTGTATACTCTTTGCTCCCGTAATTTTGACAAATTGACCCGTCTATAAAACTTATTTCCAAAATAAGCCGCGTCAAAAACTAATTTCAAAACTAGGCCGACCTCAGCGTTAACCCCAATGGTGCTGAGATAAAACGTACCAGCGCCACCCTAAGAGCAAGTACAATAATAGGCTATAAGTCAGCTGCAAACATATTTTAAGGAAATAAATGATGAGAGAGAAGAGCAGCGGGCTACAGATTTGTAGCCAGCTGTAGCACGGACTTCAATACACAATGTGTGTATGACAGGTGGGACCAGGTATTAATAGTATAATATATAACTATTATACGAATGAGCTATTAGATTGGCTATAGATGAATTGAAGCTAGTAGTTGGCTATACTATTAAACTTGCTCTAATTGGCACTAATATCACGTTCAACGTGGCACGGATTAGCCACAAAAGAGGAGCTCAGCGTCATGTGTGCTGGCGCTGATATTTACATGGTTTAAAAGAATGTGTGCTGGAAGTGTCATAACGCAGAAGCTAGCTCAGTGGTCAGGCCCCTCTACTCCAGCCCACAGGTTCACAGTTCGAACCGGGAAAGCCGGTTTTCAGGTTTTTTCTTACTTCCTCTTTGAATCTTGTTCTATTGAAATTTTTTTTCCAAACAATCACATATTTTGTTTGTAGATTTATTTTTATGTTACTTTTTAAGGGGATTATTTATTTTATTTTATGTTCAATCTGGAATAAATAAATTTGAAAACATTAATTAAAATGTTAAATACTTAGCTCAATTATTATAATTTTGTATTTTTAATTTTATGTTGTATGATTTAGGTTCTCAGTTCTTACCAAGAAACGAACCCTGGAACTCTGGCTTGCAGCCACACTGACCAACCGCTGAGCTAGATTTAACTTGTGTCAGTTATTGCCCACACTAATTTTAAACCTTCTAAGAGGTCAGCGCTAACTCATTTGGCGCTTAGCCCGTGGCTAATATGTTCCACGTCGGATATGACCTTAGCGCCAACAATGCTGGCGCTTGGACGTTTTAGCTTAGCTCAGCGCCAACCCTAATGGCGCTAAGGTCACGGCCTAGTATTGAAATTAATTTTTGACCCGACTTATTTTGAAACTAAGTTTTATAGAAGGGTCAATTTGTCAAAATTACGGCTCTTTGCTCTCTCTACTTACAGTCAGAAGTTCTGCCCTACAAGTTGATTAGCACTGTGTTTCTTATATGCAGGAGCAAGCCAACATTGGTCCTCTAATTTATGAGATGGCGGTGGCGCAGGCAGCATGAGCAAATAGCGACACGAAAATAACGGACACAATCACGACAAAGTGGCACAACTGCAAAGCCGAACAGAGGGAAAATGGAAAAAGAAAGAGAGAAAGAATACAAAGCCCATGAGCCCAAATAGCGTAGAGTGCTGCGGACGGCGGAGTGCGGAGAGCGGAGAGCCCTTGCGCCTCCACCACCGCGCCTCTTGCTCGGCCGTCAACTGGTGGCCGCGGTGTCGAGGTGCGGGGGGCGAAAGGGAGGCCTGGTCCGCCTCGGCGGTCGGGCTCCTCCTCTTCCCCGGCGCGATCAGAAGGCCGGTGCCTCCCCCAAGCGCGGAGGCCAGCAGGCCGCCACTCTGGTTGTCTCGTCTGTTCGAACCGAAATTGGTGCGCTCCCTTGTCAAACGGCAATCTCCATTGTTTTGCTTGGTGTGTTAGTGGTTGTGTGCATAATCTAGGTTTGAATTCTTTTTTTAAGTCTAATTGTACTGGTATGGTTAACTCCATAGTCAAATTATCACCATTGGTAAACTAAACTGTCTTTTGCAAAGCTAGAGAATTTGGAGCCAAAGACAATAGCATTTTTGTTTGCAGCATAGGTACTTACTACTACTTGTGGTCCGGTTTGCTATTGGGATAGAGATGGTGATGGGGTGTGGAGTGTGGACTGATTCTAACCCTTCACTTTTTTCCCTTATTCCTCAATCAAACCATAAATTAGATTTCCTCTATATATATCCCAATTCCTATGACCTTATCCCACCAAATCCAAACAATTTTACAGTTCCCATTATGAATGCAGGGTTTTTGGACAAGTGATGAAATAAAAAATTTCAACCGTGCCATTTATACTTTGTGTAAAGGCATTCGGAACGTTCTCTGAGTTCCAAGTTCTGACTTCCGACAAGCTCTATAATACTCCGTATTAACGATGTCACTGCTATGTGGAAAAAAAGATCCAGCATACTACAAACTGAGTTATTAGTCAGATACCTATTGGTGACCCTTACTGAGCAAGACATTGGCAATGGAGTAATAAAATTATTACTGAACTTGTTCACTTTGCCACCGTAGCTTAAATACAATATTACAATACCATGTCATTCCTTACAAGGATATTGATCACAAATAATTATAGTAGAATACAACTGTCATTCTATCAACTCACATGGGCTACACATACATGCTGCAAGTATACAGGAAGTGAAACATGCAAAAACTCTTCTCTGGACTGAACTACGTAACATAACACTTCGTAGAAAATATGTGATAACTCAACACTCCATGTTACATATATAGCTAGCGTGGCAAACTGACTGAGGATGATAATTCTTGCTCCAAACTGTAGCAACTGGAGATCCCTTCATATGATAAATCACCTGCACTGGTATAGTTGTTCTGTGCTTGGGATTTACCAGTATCTGGGCTTAAAAGGTGCTGAATCTCTCCACCAATTCCTGGGACGGGGAGAAATTGGAATTTTCTTAGCCTCTTAGTTCTCAGGAATTGCAGCCTCATCTCTACTTCTTTCATAGTAGGTCTATCTCCTCCTCTGAGTTTTAAACATGCCTCTGTAAGTGAGGCAATATCATCAATGTCTTCCCTGTGAGCCTCTTCAAGAACGTGAGAATCTATTATTTCGATAAGAGATCCCTCACGGAGTCTGTCAACGAAATAATGAGACAAACTTTGTTTTGTGCCTACATCATTGATGAAAATCGGTTTCTTTCTTGTCAAAAGTTCCACCAGAATCACTCCAAAACTATATACATCACTCTTTTCAGTTAGTTGTCCAGTGTGATAATACTCTGGGTCTAAATAACCAAATGTACCTTGGACAATAGTCACCACATGAGTCTCATCGAGTGAAACAGATCTTGAAGCACCAAAGTCAGAGACCTTTGTAGTAAAGTTGCCATCCAAGAGTATATTGGAAGATTTCACATCTCGATGGAAAATAGGTATTGCAGCAGCCGAATGCAGATAAGCAAGTGCCCCTGCTGCTTCTGAAGCAATCCTAATTCGATCATCCCATGACAATGAGGATTTAACACTAACATCAGTATGAAGACGATCGTGCAATGTACCATTTGGTATGAACTCATATACCAGTAAGGGCACCTCAGATTCGAGACAGCAACCAAAAAGCTTCACCACATTGCGATGGATAATTTGAGATAAAATAGCAACCTCATTGATAAACTGATCTATCTCAGTTTGTTCCACAATTTTTGATTTTTTAATGGCCACCACACTCTGGTCAGATAGAATCCCTTTATAAACTGTGCCATGTCCTCCACGACCAAGAACACGAGTAGCATCAAAGTTGTTGGTTGCCTCTTCTAGTTCCTCCAAGGAAAATATCCTTGTTTTATTAGTGGCGCTTTCATCTGAGATTAGTTGTTCCAAGAGTAGGCCCTGATTTTTCTTGAAGTATGCTCTTCTAATTCTCTTTTGGATGCTTTTCTTCCACTTATTGGCTAGAATAATCGCACCTAATGCAATAATTATGGAACCAATGCCACAACTAATACCAGTTGTAATACCTACAGCCATTCATTATTTTTGTGCCGTGAAGCCACTTTGCATTATCTTAATGCAATAAGATTGACTAATCTGTCAGCTATGACTTACCTATAATAAGATTGTGTTGCTTAGCTGATGCAACACACTGTCTTGTAATTGGATTAAACTCCTTTCTGCGGGGGCAACTAGTGCATGTAAAATTTCCAGGAAGATTTTGACATGTCCCGTTGCAATAGTTTGGCAGTAAGCATTCATCAATATCTGCAATTAACGCTTCAGTTTTTTTTTTGTTTATATTGGTACAATATAAATGCACAGGCACTACTACCTGCTTAAAGGGGAAATGCCGTGGTTAAACTATCCACATAAAATTTCTATAAAATTATTAAACATTTGCAAATTGGTGGGAATGAAGAGGAACAAACCTTCACATCCATCTTGGATATATGGATTCCCTCGAAAACCGGGAAGGCACTTGCAACGATATCCCATGAATATGTTCCCATGGGTGACGTTTAGGCAATTGCTGTGGATACTGCGGCATGCATATGTAGCATCTTTTTTTACTGCGGCATCACACGTTAAATTGGCTACTGCCCACTTTATTTCTGCACCACCATACACCTGGGATATTATGTCCTCTCCCCCATATTCTGTGTCGTTCAACAAGTTGCTAACCACCATTGTCCCCTCTTCAATTGACACATCAGTCACATTATAACGTGCGTCCCGTGGGTTGAAAAGTGTGATGTTACCTGTTGTACAATTAAGTTGGAACCTTTCACTTGCGAAACAACCTTCTTCAAGACCAAAAGGGAAGGGAATTGCCATGTTTCCGCATGATCTCCGACAGTGTTCTTTCCGCTTGGGGTTGTAATCTGCTCCACAGAGAGAGAAAAATGAACGAAAAACCGATACGGAAGACTTTTGTTTGCGCCTTAGAAAGAGAGAAGGAATGAAAATTCGATATGCAAATAAAGCTCTCTATATGTGTGTGCCTTAGTAGTATTTAAGTGGAGAAAGGTAGAGAGGAATCACCTCGGATGATGCATCCTTCCAAAAGGTAAGGACTTTGTTCTGCATAATAATAATAAAGATCATAATTGGCGCACTCACAGGTGTAACCTCCAGATGACATATTTAGGCAGTTGCTGCCGGTGCTACAAGCATAACTCGTATTTTTCATTCGAGCAATTTCACAACTTGGTTGGTCCATGATTGCAAACTGAACTAATGCTTCCTGGATATTGCTTGTGTTCGTCCAACTCAAGAAAAGATCAGTCGCATTATCTACATAATAGTCATTGTATGACATAAAAGCCATAACACCATGGCGCAGCTGCAGCTGATATGATTGTGCTGCAGTAGCATCAACTTGGACTAGTGTTGACCGAAATCCCCGCAGATCCCTTGATAACTTGATGGAGCAACATCCTTTCCCGTTACAAGGCCCTTCTGTTGGTACCTTTTCACCATCGCATCTACTCACGCAGTAACCAACAGCGTCTCTCGTACCATACTCGAACAAGGTGACATCAATATTACAACCAATAATGTAGAAGGTGTTACGCTGAGAAATAGTAACTCCCTTCCTGGGAGACACCCAGGATATGTTGTAGGTATCAGTACCTGGCTTCATTGTAATGTTGAAGTGCATGGGTGCCCAAAGATCATCGTCACCTACATATAAGATCTGGGTGGTGCCATCTTTCATATAGAGCTTAGGAGTTTTGGTGCTGGTGTTGCACTTAAGCTCGAAGCCTTCCCGGAAGCAGCCCGGCCCAATCCCAAAGGGATAGGCGATGTCGTCAACATCCCCGCAGCTAGAGGGGCAGTGAGCGAGGGAATCATTAGAAGGGATAGACAAGAGCCCTCCGCCATCTCCATAGACTGCAGCTAATGCTCGAGGCGTAGTAGCAGCCGAGCACACTAGCACTAAGGAAATGGCACAAGCTGCCACAAAGCTCGACCTCATCTTTGCGCCAGCCGAGACTTGCCTTTGTGGTGCAGGCCGGTGCCTGTTAACTACACGGTCAATTTATATTCAGACGCACCATCTCTTTGTGCTCGTCCGTGGACTTCGTAAGTAAACGCGAGATTGACATCAACTCCCACAAGCGGTCGGTTGATTAGTGCTCGATCGGCAGCAAACAATTTTCTTGCAATTTACCAAGTCTGTGTATTTGTTGACGCTGTATCGACGAAGTCCAGGGGCACTACTCCCATCAGATATCACGTCGTTGCTGGGGCCAACGACTCACCCAACTGTCGGTCTCTGCTCGACTCACCCAACGACTCACCCTATTCATCCGATTTTTTCCACGCGTTCAGTAGCTATCTACCGGCTGGAAAGACTGGTACTGCCCGAATGCTATTTTGATCATAATACACAAACGTGATACAGATGCTATTGCTACCATCTTGCTTCATATTAGATGATGAAAATAATGGCCGGCGTTGCGAAACTGACTGTACTACAACTACAAGACACGCACATAGACTTGTGGTTGTGGGAGGTTGTTCTGCTATCGTACAGGTTAGAATTCTTGAAAGAACGTAACATGTCAAGTCGTTCAAAACTGCAGTTAGCACTCCGTTGCTTCTACCCAACTTGCCAATTCGCCCACTATATTCTTACTTAAACTATTCGAAATTCTTAATATGCAAAACAAGGACAAGTAATGGGGTGGAGTATATCCACAGATAAAGAAATATATATGTGATTGGGATGAAATGAGTCCAATTTAGGTGGGAACATGTTCAAAGTCTGGTTCTTCGCGTGTATGTATCACTCTTTTAGAGCTGCCAAATTATTTCTAAGCATACTTGTGTATGGTTACTATTTCATCCACCGATGTGGGGCGTTGATTGATCCGAGTCCACGTGTGATCAATGTAACACACTGAAATGTACTGTAATAATCCCTTCGTCCCAAATAAGTTAACCTAGTACGAGATCTCTTTACATGGCAATAGGATATATTATATCTCGTACTGGGTTAATTTATTTTGAAATTGAGAGTAGAAAGAGATTACATAGCTAAGCAAGTCCACATAGATCGAAAGCGTGCACCTCAACCAGCTAGAATGACAGGAGAAAAATTTTTAGCTGAAAATCTTCCGAAGCTTTTCATTAACTTTCAGTTTGGACTTGAAGGGCATGACTACGGCATGCCATGTATGACCAGGTATATGTGCTTTGTGCTCATGCTAAGATAATATGTGCCTTGTGCCTTGTGCAGTTGTGTTCATGCTAAGATAATACTTCCTCCATCCAAAAATGTTATATAACCTAGGATTAGATGGAGACGGAGGTAGTACAGTACTTGCAAGCAATTAACCAGAACGTTCTTCGGCGATGACTACAGCTGACAGCTTCTCCGTATGTGACATTATTCATCTCCCGGACAACCGGGGCACCCAACGAGTCAATTTCGATGTGAACCGGGTCGTGCGTGTAGACTGGAGCAACCCTGACTTTAGTCAATTCCACACCTCTCGCTGTACTGGAATCTACTCCCTCCATTCGACCAAAAATAGATACCTCTGTAGGGTATCATATGCCTGTTTAGTTCTCTCGTATACGAACACGTATTTAAAGTATTAAACGTAGACTAATAATAAAACAAATTACAGATTCTGCCTGTAAACTGCGAGACGAATCTATTAAGCCTAATTAATTCGTTATTAGCAAATGTTTAATTAGGCTCAAAAATTCATCTCGCAATTTACATACAAACTGTGCAATTGGTTTTTTTTCTTCCACATTTAATGCTCCATGCATGTGTCCAAACATTTTATGTTACGGAAAAGTTAGAAGTTTGAAGGAAACTAAACACAGCCGTAGCTATGTTGATGGGCTTGTAGTAAATCTGATTACCAACAGCATAAACAGTCCTGTAATAACGAATCACAAAGTGTACAACTAGTCTGTAATATAAATCGTTTGAGAGTGACGATATGCACAAATCAACTAACACTAGAGAGCCTAGCGCATCTGTCTATAGCAGAAATGTACTCATTGGGTTAGCAAAGTAACGCTTGTTACACTTGGATGGTTCTTTACAGCGATCTTGCTTCAAAATACTCTGCAAAAGGGTAGGTGCCGAAGGGGCACGTTCATCAAACACCCGAGCATAAAGGTGTTTATCAAACATCAGCTTTTCCAACAAGGTCCGGCAGGTCTGCAGAAAGGAGAAAACAAACCATGAGTGGAATAATGTAAAATATTTATTTTTTTTAAGAAGGGTATTTTTCCCAGCCTCTACATCCAACCGGATATATACAGCCTTTTTGAATTCGCTCAAATAACCCAATCTGAGAATTTCGGCCCTCAAATAACCCAATCTGAAATTTGCTACTATGGATATTTGAACTCAAGACTGTCTTTTTAAATTAGGTACTTAACCTATCAAATAGGAAACTTAGCCATCAAATAACCCAATCTGAAATTCGCTCATATGGAAAATTGAACTCAGGACCTTGAGGTGCTACTCAGGTCACTGCAACCACTAGGCTACATGCCTTTTCACAAATATTTATTATTTAAACCACTATCATTTTAATATCGAATATACAGGTACAAAAGGAGAAAGTAGAGGGGTGACGCACCTGCGGGTTCAACACATCCATCCGATGGATGATATCCTCCTGGCATAATTAGAGCAGAACAATAGATCAGAACTTTTAAAATATTGTTGCTGATAATGGTAACTCCGTAACTGGAATCACCACTAAGTAGGGGAATCAAACGATCTTAGATCTGTACATTCAAAATAACTGCCTGATCAATTTAAGACAAACCAACTTTACCACGCAACCGGAGGGATTCAAATAACTTGAACAGTAAGAGATGAGAAAGTAAGTAAAAAGAAGAATATAAATGATATAGAGGAAGCAAACACGGGAGTCACATTCAGAAAGAAAACAGGACATGCTAAACCATAACATACACAAACGGAAATTTCCACAACACTTAAATTTAGACAATAGTTGAATTTTCCATTGTTCACTTGTACCGTATCGATGAATCTTTTAATATTGTAGTGCTAGCTATAACTAAGATTTAAGTATTCCATTCAGATATTTAGAAATAAAACTAAAATTACAATTGTCAAACTACCAAAATAACACGAATTTGAAAAGAAAAGGAATATTTTAAAATATGGAATTTCATGTCTCAACCTTGATTTTGAATTCTTGAATTTCCAAACCAAAAATAAGGGATCCGGGGAATTTAAAATTCAGATTTATGCTTGAAAAGTTAAGACTTCCAAAGTTTCAAATACTGAAGTTCTCGCATAAAATTTTCTTTTTAAAATGAGACATTTAAAGAAAACAAGGATTAATTAGTAAAGAATGCCATATAACATTAATGCAAAACTTTTGGAGATATAGATGGATAAACAAATCACAATTTCAGTGGCATACATGAAACTTTCCTAATTCAAAACAAAGAGCTACAAAAAATAAAACAAACACGCACCTCCACTACTCCTGGATATTGCATGGTATATCCAATAATACGACGACTTAGACCTTCGTAGACAGTGTTATTCATGCTTCCATCACCATTTATCCATGGCAATATTGGGTGATATATATGCCTTTCGCAAGCATGACAACAATCACTGCCCCTGTTGTCTTGTGCTGGAGTAAACGACCTTTTCTGACCTACAGGACTTTGATAGCGTATCTGAGGAGAGCTTGACTTGCTTTGGACATTAAGAACCGTCACAGTGTGCCCGTCACCAAGCATTTTTACACTCCCTTGCACATCACTAGACATTGCATGCTTCTCTCTCAGTAGATTTTCTGTATCTCCAGTCTCGGCCATCTCAAAAGCAGAAGCTCGCAAACAACTGCAATGACTTGAATCTGCAAGTGTAGTTATATGATATTTTGACTTATGTATAGAGTCAACAATCTGCACACCATCATATGCATTGACCTGTGAAGCAAGAAAATAGAGTGACACCTATATATGAGTAGGGAAATAAAAAAATGTGGACAAGAAAGCAGCAGTAAGTGTAGCATCTTATATGCAAGTATTCCACTCTTAATCAGTTTGACATAAATATTTAACTATCCCAATGATGTTTTAAATGTTTATATAAAATTCTACAAGTGCAGAAAAATATGTCAGTAATAACAAGATCTGTTTGTTAACAACAAAAAACCACTGGTAAATTTTGACAAGCAAAAGAATGAACAGTGCAAGTATTCATAATTAGGCAGATATGAAAAACAAAAGTGAATTAAGATAATTATATCGATAAACCAGTAACCAAATAGAACAAATAAGTAGGCTACTAATCTACCATATGCATGCTTGCTCACAGATTTACCTTAATGACCAGCTGAAATCTCTTGAGAGTATGAACAATCAGATCGACAAACTGGATGCCTGCAGGGGATAAGAATATAAAAATGAACTATACTTACAAAATAATTGATGCATAGTCTAACAATTCTAAGTTTAACATAAGTTACACAAATCTAAAGAATACCTAGAGGATCCAGTGCCTGTGACATCTCTCTCAAATTAACTCCTTGTTCGCCAGCTTTATGAACAACACAAAATGCATTTCTGAACAGGTCAGAAGACAATATGTCTGGTTCATTTTTGTTACAACATAATGATGGTGACTGTTCAGCATATGTTTTTATAGCATCCCAAGGCCACCCACTGTAAGAGTTCTCCAAATGAGATTCTGACAGTAAACGCCGACATGAACTGGAGTTGTTTAGATACAATGATGACATATTGTGGCTTTCTACCTGTGAATCAACATCCTTGCTCCCCATTTCCCAGGCTGAAGTAAAAATAAGGCATTCTTTATCATGTAACTCTTGTGTAAGATTACTTGTTTTAATTCTCTCTTGATTCAAAGCCACTTGAAGACCAGGGAAACCTTTCTCTCGGCGATAGCAAAAGTCGCTTTCTATCTTGGGCAAAGGTTTGTGTTTCTTAGTCTTACTGCTTTTAAGTTTAACCATATCAGCCTTGCGTTTGTGACTAC